TTCTGCTGATCTGAAGAGGAAATTTACATGCTTTCCACACCAGCCTTTCTTCACCTGAAGAGGTTTATCTTGCTTATTATATACTCACAGAATAGTCTGGGTTGGAAGGGAAAAGGGTTCCTTTGGGAAAATCCAAGGGAAAAATAGGAAAGCTTGATATAAGCACTGAGAAGTGTTACAGAACCCCAAGTTCCACTACAAGCTGGCATTATGGAGCTACTTTCACTGATATTTGGAAGTGGATCAGGTATGGTGTGGTAGGTTATGGGGTAGCAGTATTCTCAACAGGCTAACACAGTTTTACCCCCCGTCACCAAGAAACTGTGAAGGTGCCTCTGAATTCCGAGAAGAGACTGCCTTTCTGTCAGACACATTTGGGTAGAATTTCCATTTGGGAAAATCTTTTCAGCAAACAGTATCACTATATCCTCAGGAACGTGCTGGCAGCTAATAACACTTGACAGTCTGGGTTATTGATGGCTAATATTCAGTAATACCTGAACTCTTCAGATCCACTCAGGAAATGTCTGGTTTTGCCTCTTGTACTGTCTAGAGCTTTGATATGAAAAGCCAGCCACAAACAATGGTCCTATTTAGTAGCTGTCTTTGGCATCTGGCAATTTGAAAGGCTGGATCAGCAATATTTTGAACAAATGTGGCTATTACTAGTAGATGAAAACAGAAGGATGTTGTGTTTGTTCTAGTGCCAACTTTGAGAGACTAAGTGCTATATATGAGCACCTGTCTTAAGCTTAGTCTAGCATATTTAATTGTGCACTGTATCATACCTGCTCAGTGAGAATATAACATTGTCCACTGAGTTACTCAGCAAAGAATATGAAAATAAGTAAGTGGGATGTTTACTAAATGTGACATTTACTGAATCCAACTTTAAATTTTACATCTTTTCTAGAGCACAAGACCAAACTAAATGTCACAGCTGACAGGTTGTTTGAGGCTACATTTTGCAGTCCATTTAAAAATCAGCTCATAGATACTAGAGATACTTGATACTGCTGGCAATCTCCTGAGTTTCCCAACATTTATTTGACTACCTTTTTGCCTGTTCTCCTCCTTTTCACTTGTTTGGCTACAGCTGTAACATCTTATCCTTGAACAGGAGGAAGGCACCTCTGTTGTCTTACAGATGTATGAGAAGTACCACCTTGTTAAGTTTAGTCTCTCACCTGAAATGACATCTGACTCTCACCTGACTTCTATGAAAGCCAAAATCTGTACACAAGCATGCCCAGACTGTGGTTCTTGCCCTATATACTGGATGTCCTATATCCTGGGCTTCTCTTATGGGACAGTACTTCTGAAGATAAAATAGTGTCCCTCTTCTGCTGCTTACTAATACAGACCACTGGAGATTTCACGGCTTCCCTGGGAGCTTATATGTTTAGTAACTTCCAGGTTTGTTATTTCTAGCACTTCTCCCCAGAGCTGTTTCTTAAACAAATATTGGTATTTTCATGGAGTATATCGACACACATCAGAGAAAGGAACACCTGAAATGGCCCTATGCTATTGACTTACTACATTCCTTTGTTGTAATCATGAATGTAGTGCCTTCCCACAGATAACAGCAACTGATATTTGTGCCATGTCTTGGTACAGTGCATCTTTGCTTTTACTGCTTTCAATTCCCCAGCAAAGCCATTCATATGGTGAGGAATATGAAGTTCAAGGGCAGCCTTGGCTGCAGTGACCATGGAAAGGTGGAGTTTGAGATCCGTAGGATGCCAAGGAGGGTGCACAGCAAGATTGCTACCCTGGACTTCAAGACAGCAGACTTTGGCCCCAACAGGGGTCTTCTTGATAGAGTACCATGGAATAAAGCCCTGGAGGGAAGAACGGTCAAAGAAGGCTGGATAATATTCAAGGATGACCTCCTCCAAGCTCAGAAGCAATGTATCCTGACAAAGAGGGAATCAGGCAAAAATGCCAGGAGGCCTGTGTGGATGAACAAGTAGCTCCTGGACAAATTCAAACATAAAAAGGAAGCCTAAAGTGTGCAGAAGAAAGGGCAGGTAGCATGGGAGGAGTATGAGGCCAATATGATGCTTATGCATGCCCCATGAACAGGCAGTGGGAATTTTTCCACTTCTGGGGGAATCTGCTGTGTGTGGAAAGGTGCTGCATTGACAAGTCTCCTGTGTTACCCCCTGGCAGACAGTGTCACATCCAGACTACATGCCTGAGAGCTTCTTTAGCACAGGGTGGCAGCTGTCCATGCAGCCAGAGAGAGGTGAGTTGAAGAAACAGGCAGAGATTCCCCGAAAGCTCTAGAGTGAAGTACTGCCCACAGCTGGCCTGCTAGGACCAGGAGATAGCAAGGAGAGAAGAGAAATCTGAAAAACAAAAGAGAGTTGTCTTGAAGAACGGTAGTTATTCTACAGAGAGGAAAATTCTCAGTTGCAGATTCACCACAAGCCCTGCAGGACAGACCCCCAGGCAGTGTAGATGTTATGGAGCAAATCAAAGAAGCCGTTAGGTGGCTCTGTGCTCTCACCTTCTTACCAGATCCATACTAGTAGCCAACATCATGCTTTTAGATTAATTGCAACTAGACGTTTCCAGTTCCTTTAACCTGTTTCCTTCCACAGCCTACAACAAAACTTTCCAGACAGGCATTTAAAAGTCAGCTCCTTTATATTTTAATGGACAAGGAAATTTTCCAGTTATATCAGCTTTTTCCCAATCCTCCTGGGACCAGAGTTTGGCAACATTATAATATGAGAGAAAGGACTAATGATGTATCTTTTTATCAGGTGTCAAAAGTGGTGTGTTCTTAGGGAACAATAGAGACACTAAGCATACATACCACTGATCTTAAGTGCTTCTTAGGAAACAATGTAAGAGCTCAAAACTAAATCTCCATTTCTCCATATTTTTTATCATTGTCTCAAATCATTATCTAGATCCGGTGTTTCCTTAACAGAACAAAAGGTGTGCAACACCAGGCTGGAAATGGGGTTGGTCAGTGTGCTCCTCTAGATTTCTCCTTGGTCTCAGACTGACTTGTCTGGTGAAATTGCCTGATCACTGACATGGGGAGCTGACCACAGCAGTCAAGCCATAAGCCCTCCGAAGCAATCAAAACTTGTCTGAGCAGCAGATGGGGTGAAACAGTAGAGACAGAGGGATCCTAATGCACCTCCTACATTTCCTCCTTGATAGGAAACACCTGTGAAATGCCTCAAAGGAATGAGGGTGTGTTCCTCTAAAAAGGGTGACATGGTCAATAGCCTGGCTTGTGTGCCTCTGTACCAATGCACACAGCATGGAAGAGCTGAAAGCCACTGTGCAGCTAGCAAGCTGTGATCTAGTCACTATCACTGAAATGTGGTGGAACGAACATCGTGACCAGAGCACTGCATTCAATGGCTATAAAATGTTCAGAAGGGACTGGCAACAGCACTCTGTTGGTGTTTGGATAACATCATGTATTGTGTTTTGAGTGACGTTTTGCACACTATGCTGCTACTTGAACAGTTCATTATAAGTTGCCACATCCACACAATGCACATCCTCATACTTGTGACTAAATCATAAAAGGAAAATATAAAAGTACAAAAGCCACCAATGTTACAATAATGCTTTTATTAAGACACCAAAACTCTGCTAAACAGACGCAGCCACAATAGCAGTTTCTGCTGAGCATACAGGGTACCAAATACAAGCTACTGTTTTGCATTTCATCCTGAAGACGAGGGCTCAGCTTTTGTAAATGGCATAGGTCCACTGAAATCAATAGGCAAATCTCTAGTCCTGTCACTTTCAATCAGTTCAGGACTGTAAGTACTAAAAACTAGAAAAACATTTGTAGTAAAATAGCATCTCCTTTCACTATGTCCAGACGGCAAACACATTATATATTTGAAAGGAAATTGAGCAACAGTTAAGAGACACCTACATAATCAAAAGCTAGTGGTTATGTTCATCACACTCTGAGATTGCAAAGATAATTTGCAGTTTAATTAATAAATTGAAACCAAATGGAACTTTTTTTTGTATCAGGATCTGATAACTGGTATTTCAGCAAAGAAATGACAGCTCAAGGTTTTCTGATCCTTACAGATTCACTTGAATCCAAATCAGAACACAAATTATTATTCTGAAAGTTATTGATATATTTAAAAGGTATCTATATAACCAAAGATAAATCAGTACAACCTTTTGCAAAATGTAGAAGTCCTTTACCCAGTAATCTTAATAGCTAGCAGAAATTGGACTGGGGGGTGGAAGGGGTGACGTGTAAAAAAAGCAGCTTTCTATTGCTATTCTGTACCAAAATACAAAACAAAACAAAAAAAAAAAAAAAACCAACCAAACCAAAAAAACAGTATCCAGAATATGAGATATAGCTTCTAAGAGTATTTGTGAATTCAAGCTAATGACCAATTTCCACTTGATGTATTTATAATGGTGTCCATTGAACTTGTAGAGGAATTAGCTTGTTTAGTGTAAACTACCGGATTACTTGTGACCCAGACATAGCAGACTCTGTCACTGTGTAGGAGGAGTGCATGTGGCAGTCAGAATCAAGGGGTGGTAGGGACAAGTTACCACACTGCTTTACTCTCCATCTTCTAACACACTCACTGAAGTGGAGGTTTGGGGCAGCCAAGGTTGGAGCTGGAACGTTTGAGAGAGTGAAGAGCAATGCCCCAGGAAAGAGTCCTGCTGGAGATGCTTACTGTGTTCCAGTTTATCCAGCTGAGCAGATTGTTGTTGTAACCAGTGGAGCATGTAAACTGAATCTGTGCTGCTGCGCTAATGGTAGGGTCATGCAGCTAAGCAAAATTGAGCTCAAATTTATAACTATTCAGTTGCAATTGGAGTGCTGTCACTCAGGTGGGCACCGTACTCTGTGGTTTGACTGCACCACCGCTGTGGTGTAATTAAAGAGAATATGCAGGTACCTATTGACATATATGCAAAAATGGGACTGCCAGTAACAAAAATAGTTTCTTTTTCTATTTTTTTCCACTGAGTCCTTGTTAATAAATGAATATACATTCAAATCTCAAAACTCATGCTGAAGAACACACTGAATAGGTTAAGCCTCACATTCATGGTGCCTTTTCTTTATCTGGTGGCAAATCCAATACTAGGTCTCCAGCTTCTGTATGCTTAAGGCGTTGCACAATTAGGTCTTCAATGTTTGAAGCTGTAGCTCGAAGTTTCAACCTCACCTTAAGTAAATAGTGAATCACAAACGGAAAAGGAAATCTCTCTAAGGGTTTTTTAATTTACTTTCTGGAATATTTATAGAAACATTCAGCTTGTCAATAGTAATGGCACAAGTGATGCTAAGGTGGGCATATGGTAACATTGCACAGTGGGAGAGCCAAATATTGGAACTTGATTAGAGAACTATTAAGTCTTTCTTTTTTCCCTTCTATTTTATCCATAATAAAACCTGCCAAAATTCACTTCAATCTGGAGCTGCAGGGAAAAATAGTTCTCAGGACACCAGGGAAGAGCCAGATTAACAAATAAATAAGTAAATAAAAGGAGGGATTGAAGCTTTTTATATACAACATTAGTTTGGAAAAGTCAGTGCTGTAAATAGTCATGACCACCATTGTGAAGCGTGATGAAAGCCAAATGCTGAATGAAGACAATTTTCAGTTCTTCATGTGATGAGACGTGATACAACTAGAAAACATAAAAAGCAAACTGATTGTGACTGAGAAAGGTAATCAACAGCCTTCCAAGGTAAGTAAATACATGGGAAATAAGATATGAGTAGTTCCAGCATCTAAAAGGAGCCCTTAGCTGAGTCTTCAAAATAATGTATCATGTTATGTGCTTGACAATATCCTTTGTGCTACAGCCTCATAGCACAACTGCAGGATTTCCGCTGCTGTCAAATGTTGCAGTCACCCATGACCACTCATGAATGATTCAGAGTGATGAATGAAGACAAGCTATTCTTCTCTCAGCTGAGAGACTCAAAGGCTTCATATATAGGTTTTGACTTCAGGGACATAAGTATCCTCTTTACACTGGATTATGGCTCTCTGGTGGGATCTCTATCACTGATGGAACTGTACAGCTGCTAGCACTGTACCAAAAAGCCCTGGGTACCTTCCCTTTGGGCTCCTAACAGGAAGCCCTTTGGGAAGCAATCAGAGCATCACCCTCACCTGTAGTGAATTCCTAGGAGCTGCCCATAGATATATACAGAGTATGATCTTCATAATGTAAGACTGGTGGAATTAGAGCTAATCATGACTGTGCAAGATTCTGGGAGCTGATAGCTGGAATAAAGTCTTCCCTGACCTTTCTGTGTGATACATACTGAGTCATTGAACTTAGTGAGCTAAATTATCTGTAAATACCATCATGATGAGTCTAGAAGATTTCCTGTGGTCATGGAAGCTGCATTGTCTTATATGAAGCCTGTATCAGGAAAGAGTTACTGACAAACTCTTGTAACTATATCAAATACACTTGTTCCCATCCTTGAGCTGTGAAGCAGTGTTAGGTGTTCTTTTTCAGCAGCCAGCTTTCTCACCTATCTATCTCTCCTCCTCTTAAAAGGGCAAACATACAAATGGTGATGAGTAGCTAGAACATACTCATTTTACAGGAAAAGTGCTGAATCCTGCGATATTCTGGAAAAGTATTAGATTCTTAAGTTGCAGAGGCAGAACATATGGTAGTGGTCAACACTCCTCAGAGCTGTCTTTCCAGACTCTCTGCAGGCCCTTGTAAGTACTGCTTGTCCATTAATAATATTTCAAGCTCTTTACGTCTAAAATCCCACTATTTTCTTGAAAAACACACCCTAAAAAAAACCAAACCCACAAACAAACAAAAACACCAAACCAAAACAAAAACAAACAAACAAACAAACAAAACTCAAAAAAAAACCCAAGATTTTGCACAAAGGGATAACTTCCAAAGCAGATTTATAAAGAGAGTGGTAAAATTTCTCTTGTTATACCAATTCGTGATCCAAAACCAAAAGGGAAACACTTTTTGTGGAACGAGTCATTGGTGTACTTCTAAAGTGGTGCACCGTGTACTCTGAGACTGAAGCCATGAAGGAAGACAAAGAGAAAGCTGTCTTCCTCCTCTGTAGTCTGTAGGGTTTGAAAACAGCAACAACAGTAGAAATTTCATTCTTACTTCTATGACCTCCATCCACAGCAAACGGGACAAGAGGTTCAAATACCCATAAACAGAGGATGCTCCTCTGCAAGTATTTAACCATTTCAGGAAGAGATAAACTGCTAAAAAAATAAAAGTAACAGATCATAATTCAGTACTTACATCTGGCAATCTGGAAATAACTACTCGTAGAACACTTGGTAGCTGAAGTTGTCAGACTTGATTCTGAAGTTGTATCTTCCCATCTTTCTCTGGTATGTGAAGATGAGAAGGCTCACAACTCCCAGCACAACGCCAAACACAGCAAAGGCAATGAGGATGATGTATCCAACTCCCACGCCAGCCTCCTTCTGTCTCTTCAAATCAGATCCTGAAAAAAAAAAAACAAAATAAGATTTGAAAGAAAAAGGCTCTAAATTCCCAAATCTTTTCCTAAGTAAGAAAAAAGCCTTGCCCACAAATTAGCCAAAATGCATGTTGAAGCACAGAGCTGTCGATACTGAAGTAAATCAGCCTTTTTGGGCGGGTGATTCTTATGGAAATGTGTGTGAGCCACAGTCCAAGTTCTCTTCTTACATACAACTGCTGAGTCCTTGAACACATGAGTGTGATGTGTCTTTCAAATTTAACTCTGTAATTTTCTATTAAAATAAGAATTAAAGTGTCAGCACTGATGACTTCAAAATGCTGCCTTATTTTCAGAATAAAATACTCATCTGCCTAGAGGTGAAGCATTCTCCTATCTTAATCCTGCTCCCATTCATCTATGGCTATTAAAACCCACTCAATTTGCTTTATGCTCATCTGGAACATTTTTTTAAACACAAAAGTATTCAGGGAAGGATTTTCCATGTGCTGCTGGATCTCTAAGCTCCCTCCCATTCTGATCAGTGGAGCAGGCATGTGGCCAAGCAGTATCGGCAGAGCAATTAAAGATTTTTTCATGTTTCACTGCCAGCAGTTTACCTGACATCATAATTCATGTTGTCTCCTTCCACACAGAGATGCATGTCACTGTGTGATCTAGCCTCACATTTAAAATGTGATGTGAGCATCCCAATTGGAAGTAGGAGACAACATCTAGTAGTGCCACCTTTGCCTAGGAATCAGTGTAGTACAACACAAATAAAGCTCCTGTCACCAGAGTTCCTTCTGTATAATGACCCTTTATCAATTTTGGAAATGCACTGGGATCTCTGGTGAAAATGGGAGTGAGATCTACATGTTGTAAGTGGTGTACAAAGAAAGCTGTAATTGCTGAGTTTAAAAAAAAAGAACTAATTCAGAAAGGAATGCTGAACACCTAACAGATTAATACTTGCATATAATGGAAGAAGAATACAATATGCTAAGCCAGATTGAGTTTCTATGTCCAAAAGAACATTGTGACTGTCACAGCAGAGAAGAGAAAAATACCCTGAACCAACTAACAGTTCAGCATTAACTTACCTCCATAGTCAAAATAGCCTTAAGTGACTGGCAAAACAGGCAACCAGAAGAAGGAAAGGGGATGACTTCTATCTATTCCTGGTAGTTATGTGTTAGAACCCTGATACTGATGTGTACAAATGCTCTCAATGAGTGTTTTATGCGAATAAGATGTAAATGCAAATGACTGGAGGAGGCCAAATGACTGAAAATCTTAGAGGCCACAAGTACCCTTGAAAACATGGCTGGGGTTAATGCAGAAGAGGCAGATGAGTAACAAATTAGACCTTGCTTGTACACACTGCTAGTGTTCATTCTTTGTTAACCCATATTGTACCACTCCACCACATTGATCAAAGTGGTGTGCATCAGCTGTGCTCTGCCACTTTCTCTCATGGTAGCAATGAAGTCAATGCCAGAGAATCCAAGGAAACACAACAATACCATCTCTTTATCTCCTCTTATTTTGGACTTCAGAGCTCAGCATTATTGCTGTGTAACAAGAACGTAAACACTTGAAAGACTGGTTGCAATCTAAAAGATTACAGCTGCTTTCACACTTTGCAATTTTAATAACAGTTTGATTTTGTGCCTGTTGTACTTGCTGCCCTGTGCAAATAGCTGCATGAAGCACTTTATCCTTTTCTTTTCTACATTCCATTGACAATCTGAGAGTCACTTCACCACGGAGGCCACGTGCTTTTCCACACTGCCACATGGATTCAGTAAGAATGCCTGCTCCTCAGAAAAACAATGCAGGGGTGCATGGAAACCTTATATCACGGGTCTTCAGTTTCTTTTGCTAGTCAAAAAGAATCTTGAAGTGACAGTTACTTCATGTTCCCTTTTTGTAGGCATCTATTCATAACTCACCAGCTGATTTACATAGGGGTCCCCAAGATGTTCTGTGCGTAGCGATGGTTTCACCAGTCTTCATGAGTCGAACTGCACGGCATCTCTGAAACAATCAATTCAAACTTTAACAAGTAATATGGTTTACTAATTAAAAATAAAAAGCCTTTGAATGAGTATGTGAAAGCCCTGTGCAATTCTCACTCACTGGGGTTTTTATTTCTTAATGTTATGCTTTGTTAAACTGAAATGAGCACCAAATGGAAGTTCAAAAGAAATAGCAATAAGGAAACATCAGTATAAAATCTGTGATTAGTCATGCTGGAAGACACTGCTGTGAGCAGGCACTTCACACAGACAGTCTCTTTTCAATTAACTTCCTATTTGGTTTAGAGAAACCTTACGGAAGAATAAACTTCTCACTATTTCTATACGTCAGGACTTTGCACATATTTTTGTTTGGATGTTTCTACTGTCCATGGCAGGCACAACAGATACTACAGATACTACAGCCAGCATCAGCAAAGGCAGCAGCAACTTTCAGCCCTTACCAAGCTGTGTGTCATAGAATCACAGAATGGTTTGGGTTGGAAGGGACCTGAAGATCATCCAGTTCCACCCGAACTGCCACGGGCAGGAACACCTTCCACTAGACCAGGTTGCTCAGAGCCCTGTCCAACATGGCCTTGAACACTTCCAGGGTTGGGGCAGCCACAGCTTCCTTGGGCAGCCTCTACCAGTTTCTCATCACTCTCACAGTAAAGCATTTCTTCCTTATATCCAACCTGTCATTTGAATTAATGCACAGCTCTTCAGTGACACATAAACTACTAATCTGGGAACTACTAGCTTGAAAGCCCTGCCCTGTGAAATGCTGGGGATTAGGTGCTTTAGCTTTGTGTGAGCAGCACCTGTAGAATGCACAGCACACTCATCTTCTGCACAGTTCCTCAGTAGCACCATTTAGTTTGTTTGCTACCTATAGGTTTCTGAGGGGAAGCGTAACCCTTTGGGGTTATTCAGAAGATACTTTGACTCTCCTGGAAGTGCACATAAAAGGAGAGAAAGTGCGGTACCATACTAAAATCAGCCAATGGAACCAGGAAAATGCAGGGCTGTCTTAACCAGCTTGTCTATACAAAAGTGTCTTACCAGCACTACCAGCCTGGTTACACTGAAAAACCTCTACTGTCAGCAACAGTGTCTTTAGCTGCATCAGCCCCCAAAAAACCACCCATGTAGGTATGACTTTCACCTACCCTTGAATAGCTTTCCCAGCTAGGCAGATTTAGAGAAAATAATTACATAGCTACTTGACATCAATGACTTTTTGGTTCCATGTGGCCGGGGAGCAGCCACATTACACCAAACATATGCATGAAAGCAGAACATCACTGTCTTTCCCATTCAAAGTCATGTTTCTTACTCATTTCTTACTACATTGCTCCCTGGTCTCTCTGTGGTTTTTTCTACTCTGAACTATAGAGTACCTTCCTCTCTCCTGCCAGTAAAACAAGGAATAAAAAGACTGAGAAAGAAGAAATAATATACAAGATCTATGTCTCAATATTATGGGCAAAGGGCTGATACAAATCTGCCCTTAAGCAAGTCAGTATTTTCCAGATTAGCAGAAGGATCAGAGGATCACATCCTGGACCCTGGGCGCTTTCCCAGCCATCTCACATTATTTCCAAATATACTTTGTTCTTGTTTCAGTTTTCCTTGGTCTTTTCACCTTCTGCAGCTCCCCTCTTTTCTTTGTAAAAGCCATTGTCATCCTGTGTGCATGTCCGTAGTACCTGTCTTCTCTGCATAACTTCAATCTCAATCTCAGATACTGAATTCACTAACTTTTCATGGGGGTAAATTTTGCATAGGAGAAAAAATTCTATCATATATATATGAATATTATAAAATATATGAAAGAGGAGGGCCTCACTGACTAATTCTGCTGTGTCTTGTTTACTGTGGATGTCTATGTGAATCAATCCTCATCTGGGGCTAGCAGAATTACCCCATCAGAGACCCCTGTAATTCAGATCACAGTCAGTCCTTTAGTTAACCATGTTCTAAAACTCTAATCCGTACAGCTAAAGCCTGCTCTAACACCAAACTCAGAGACTCTCCTAGCAAAGCAACTGATTCCTTACAGCAACCATACCAGCCCATATAGTCCCTGTCATGTCCACCCCTCTTATGTCCCTGATTTGCACTCACCACTGTGTCCCTCCTCAGCTGTGCAGGACACGAAGTGAACATGGGGAAGGCACCACTTCCTCCAAAGGAGGGCTTAGGTGGTTGCTGAAGCACTGATCTTCACTGGGCAAATTCAGCTGTGAAATTGGAGCCATCTTTCAATCTGTCAGCTGTGTTTCCTGTCACTAGTTTGTTGGGGAAGTTTAATGTGGAGGAAGCTTTTTACTTTGGAAAGGAAACGGTTATCTTCTGCTAGCCATTTCTAATCTTTTAGGAAGAGATCATTTGCTTTGTAATGGGCTTAAACTGAGTTATTTAGATCTAGAGGAAAGTGTTAAACAATGGAAGAACTCCAAACTGCTAATGAAAACATCCTTTATAGGAAAAAAGCCAGGAAAGCTGGCAGAGGGTGAGGAGAATTCCTGCATGTCTGCTATAAAGAAAAAAAATAAAGCCATCATCAAAATCTGTTTTTTCTTTTTTCTATGGTAGCAGCACGTTTTTAGATGAAGCAATGTGTATCACTTATATAGAAGTAAAAAGAAACAGAGCAATGCTTTGGAGCACAGATATTTAGAAACCGAAGTTCTTATCAGAACACTGCTTGGTTTATTGCTTTATAAAGCAATAGCCCTTTAAAAAGCCATAATAAACTGTTGGAGCCACAGCCCTAGAAACTTAATGCCACCATGTTTCCTTTTCTGGCACCTAAACTCTCACCTGGAGAAGCAAATCCCTAAGGAAAAGAAAAAAAGGACAGAAAAAACATCCCAAATAAATGTACTCAGACTTGCCTGCTGGCACTGCTAATATGGGTGCTTGGTTTTTTGTGACATGTCCATCTGAGCTGAGACATTTCTGAATAGTCTATCTCACTGTGACTCCTCTTCACTGCCTTCTAGCCACCCATATGCAGAGGTGAAAGGTTCAGTTCTCAGGTCCCCCCAACTTCAGTTTGCCCATTTCTGTGCAAGCTCCATGCTTTTAAGTACAAGGATGAGGAAGAGGCAGAAAGGCGGACACTTCCATATGGTTGTAGTTCTTTCCCACCCATATCTACGCTCAGCAGAAAATGAAGGAAAACTTCAAGAGCTATTTTGAACCGTGTTTGAAAACATTACTCCTTCAATTCCATAGCAGGACTGCATATGGTGTGTTGGAGAAAAATAGCACATTGGAGCAAAACACTTACTGTCCTGCAGGTGCTTCCTGGTCTCTCCATACAAATACGAATTTTGCAGTGTAAGTAAACCACGGAATTGTTGACAAAGGAAAAGATTTTCATCTTAAACTGTGCTTTGCTTGAGTTCCCATTCTCTAGCAGTGTGGTGTATGTATCTGGGATGGGACAGCTGAAAAGGAAGAGAAAAACATACATAACAGCTAGGGCTATAGAAAGCATGTTCTGGTTATAGCACGTAAGTCACGTTGCAAGGCTCCTTTAGAAAGTCACAGCCTGTGAAGCAACTCTCCAGCAGTGTAAGAGCTATTTGCAGCTTTATTCTGAGTGACTAAATAGAACAGGAGATTTGAGAAATGGTTGGAGAGTTGGAAAAGAAGGGAAAGAGTGACAGAAGGATTTAAACTTGGCTTCACCAAACACAAACTGAAGGGACATATAAAAAAGAATAGCTTCTGTTACTGTGCAAAAGGACTACCCTGGATTTTAAAGTGGCAGGTGAGCACAGGGAATATGACATTGGAGTGAGATCAGGGATTCAGACAGGATAAACCTCCCCTTTTACCAGAGGCTGCATTAATATTATGTGTGAGTCACAACACATAGGAATCAACTAACCTATGTCTTGATTACCAAAAGGCACCTAAGTCCTTGGTAAGATGAACCACAGGTGAAGCACACACTTTTCAAATGCTCTTTCACTACTATAAGTGTGGCCAAAGCCACCTCTTTGTTCAGGTCAGAAGTACAGCTCCTTTAGAAAACTATGGGGAAGACAAACTCAAACAACCATCACATTACCCTTTGAAAACATTTTCTTTTCATACCTACCTTTCTTGTTCAAAGAAGGTGTGACCAGTCCAAATGGTAAGGGACTGTGTATAAGAATGATGAAAACACACATAAAAGGCATTTAAAACATAACAAATTACTACTCAGCACCATTGGAAGATCTGAGGTATGACACATGGTATTTGTGAGTGGCATTGCTGTACCTGTTGCTGATAAAAACAAATGAGAGGGGATCCACTGAATTATTAGTTGGAGTTGCCCAGCAGTCAGTTAGGACCACCTTGAGCTTGCTGTCTGCTCTCTGGATTCCCACTTCAATCAGTACATCATCACTGGCAGAGATGCTGAAATTTTTTGGTATTGGGGAGTTTCCAATAAACAGCTGCATTTCTGTTCTGAAGTGTCCAGATCCATGCAGATCCTCAAAGATGGTGTAAAGTCTGAAACACCAATAAACCTCCTTTAAAGACCACAGATTTGACTGCTTGTTTCTATAAGTCATAAATCAGTGCCCATTTCTCCACTCCTTGCACATTTAAATAGTGAGGAGTGATCTGCAGTCCAGGATGTTACAACACTGTTCAATAGGAAAAGATGAAAATGCACCAAGTTTTTAATTGGAAATGCAGGGAGCATAGGAACACAAGCATGAAAACCCAAAGGGTGGAATGTCTTGGCAATACAAATAAAGCAGAGAGAGACAGGTAAGCGAGGCAAAAGGGAAACAAGACTATGAACTCTCTTAAAGTTCAAAATAAGGAGAGAAAAAGCTTAGTGCAGAAGAGAGAAAAAAAAACAGAATGGGCAAATCTGAACAGTAAGGGAGGGACATGGGAAAATGATAAAGCTCAGAGAGAAGGGCCCTGTCAAAGACTTCGTGGGGGGATAGAAAGGAAAATACAGTGTTTGGTCAGGGTTATAAAGCAGAAGGTGGATTTGGTAATGATAGCATAAGCATGGTGCTAGGCAAGAGAGGAGGTGCACTTGCATGAAGTGAGACCATTCATCACCAGAGCAAAGCTTGTGCTGCCACCTCTTCTGTGAGAATGTGCTTGATTTTCTGTGAATGGTACATTTGATTCCATCTTACTTGAAGACAAGGCCTTCCATAAAAAAGTACTTGCATTACAAGCTGATCAAATATGTATTTGTAGGAGTTAAAAATCACAATCCTCAGAACCCACATAGCAGTCTGCATGCCTACATCGGTTGAAAAATCATTGTTCTGTTCTAAAAGCAGGAGAACACTGTTATTGCTACACATGATTGCCCAGGAAGGCAAAGAGAGGTTGGGAATTCTGACTCTTGAACCTGCACCAGTAGCTCCCAAAGGCGTATTTTCATCTGTGGTTTAGCCAGACAACAGCCAAGCTTGTTGACATTTGGATTTATTGACACATTACAAGGAGTAGTAGAGAAGCAGATGGAAAGGATCACCTGAGCACAGGACTCACAGGATGGCCAACTACTTAGCATAGCAAGCAGTCACTGGGTACAGCTAAGGTCCCTGGAGATTTTTCCACTGTAGCAGCTCTTAACCACACAGCAGCATTTCAAAGCAGGCCAAGCTGTTACTTACCCTTCTGCAGTGTATCCAGAGGAAGTCAAGAGATCATTTTGAAACACACAGTGAATGGGGCTAGCAACTTTTAAGTGGTAGATTACTCCCTGAGCATTCCGAAGGATGGTTTTCACTACTGTATTAGTCATGTTCTGCAATGCAGAAAGAAGAAAGCGCAACCTGTGAGCATCAGTTTTTCCAGGGATATAGCAGAGCTACAAGCTTACCAGCTTCAAATGCTTAGGCACTATCCATTCAACTAGCTGCAAAAATTAAACAGATTAAACCTCTGTATTTTAGTTGTGGTACAGTGAGACAATGAAAATCCACCGACCTCCCTCCTCTTTCTCAGTCTGCAATGACTATTGCTCCACAAGGGACTTTCTCTACTTTGGTGTGGCCTGAGCACAGCCTTTCATTTGGGATCCAGAGAAATAGCCATCACGTTTTGTCCCCACTACTGGCGGCAATTGGAGCATTCATGTACATGCAATAATGAAATTACTTTTAAGAAAGGAGAAGTTTCTGACAGCTACAGAGGGAACCCCAAGAGGCATGCGAAGTGACTCAGTTTGGAGAAGCCCTTGAGTTTTGCTGCCTGGTCTCTTTCTTGCCCTCTTTCTTGCTTGCCCTCCAGTCCCAAAGAGGTAATTTTCCATCATGGGAAGGGGGTTCTTTCTCCAAAGAAATCTCTTAGTCAGCATTTCAGCAATCAATAGACTGTAGCACCCAGCTAAGGATGTGCCATTGCCCCTCCCATACCTTCCCTCCCACTGACAAAAAAGTGCTCCGGGGCTTCTCCACAATCATCTCAGGGGACTTACAGTCTCAACTTCAGTGCCACAGTCACGCCAGCCTGCCTGCAGCACAACATGAGTGCCATTGCTGATGCTCACGTTGCAGTGAGGCTCCCCCAGGTACAGGGAGGTTTCAGGAATAGACTCCTGCTGTAAAAACCTCTTCTGGATGGCAAGGACGATCTTCTCAATTCCACAAAACACTTCCACTGCATCTTTAATGGAAACCTCCTGGGCAGGTTTAATGAGGGAAACAGGAGATGCTTGAGGAGAAACACCAGAAGTTGACACAGGATCCATGGTGAGAAGAGGCAGCACTACACTTGTGAATGTGGTGTCCTCCAGACCTTTGTGCTCAGTAGTAAGGTCCACTGAAGTAGAGGAAGGAGCTTGAGTTGAAGTTTGCAAAGATGTCACAGGTAAAACTGTGCTGTGTACAGGCTTCTCATCCATCGCTGTTGCCTTCGGGCTGATAGGAAATGCTGAAGAATGACAAAAATAAAGGTTCTGTTGTAATTTACAGGCTCAGATTGATTCATAAGGTAAAAGCAAACTCTTAGGAGGTAACTCAATTACTGGCAGAAAACTAGCTTCTTTTGGTTTTTTAACCCTCTCTACTTACTGCCAGAGGATGACTTTTGTTTTAAGAGAGTGCCCAAGAGATACATAAAGTGCCTGTGAGTAAAGGTAAAGTGCTTTATTTCCTGAGAGCTGCGGTAATTGGTGTATACATGTATACACAGCTTTTGGAAGATCAGTTCTTGAAGAGATCCCCAACTGTAAGCTGTTCAGGAAATGTTCATATGTTTTTGCCTAGTACTATAGGGACTGCACACTTCTGGACGTGGGCCACAAACAGGAGCAGTTTGTTAAGCTGCTGGCCCCTTTTGTGATCAGTTAGGATCCAAAGATATGACCCTGAGCACTTTGGAAAACCCATTTTGGGGGAAACGCAGGACAAACTTCCTGCAGCAGGCCCACACTGCACATACGTGTCCTGAGAGACACCGTGGAAAGCTGAAAAAACATGTCAGCAGCAATCTTTCATGGCTTCAGGAAAAAAGCAAGCAGAGTAAATGGGAAGCACAGACTGAGATCAATGAGTATGCCAAACACCTGACACCCAGCACAGGCTCTGAGGTTATCCTGTGGCTCTTTGGTGGTAGAAACAACCTAAGTATTCATCCACTGCTGACTTAGAAAGCACCGAGATAATAAACTCAATTTGCAGTGAAACATAAAGGATGTGTCTCATGGCACAAAATTTTCTCTTAAATAATTTTAATGGGTTATACATACAAATATCACCTATTACCCAAGCAACATATAAAATCTGTACATCTATAGATATCCTTCTGCAACTCCCCCACTTTCAGAAACACCCCAAATTGAAAAGGTGCAGGTTTGAGTGTATGAGAAAGAAAAATAAGTCTGAGCTCTGCTGTCTCCTCTGCTCCTGCTAATGGAAATAACTAACAATTTTGACAAGCCTGCCTAATTTTAATAGTAAATTTGAGAAAACAGAACTGTTAAAAGAACCTTACAAAGACAACATTAAATATTAATATAGTAAACTCTCATGACAGGGTATTTCACTGAGAAATACTTAGAAGTCCACTGCAAGACTTTTCCTATTGGGATCCATCTGAAAACAGCAAACCAAATTAATCCCTGGCAACATTTCAAGACCTGTGGCAAGTATGACCATGACCCAGGAAAGATCAAATTGCTCAGTGTTCAGTTAGCCATTAGATAATTAAATATTTTTTTGCCTTCACAACTTCTTCCAGGCTTTTCTGGGTGCACATCATCAAATCCTTCATTGCAGCTGCACTGGTAGAACCCAAATGTGTTATGGCACGAGGCATCTGGGGAGCAGTCATCTTCTTCACTCTCGCATTCATCATAATCTGTTGGGTGTATTTAAGCAAAAGGCAAAGGTGGAGAGTCTATAAATGAAAATGTGATGACTCTGAAACTAAAATCAAGTTCTATCATGATATCATGGCAGGAGCACACTTGTGATACTCTGCTGTACTTGTCAGGCAGCTGCTGGGTTTAGAAAAGGTGGGATACTAGAAGCACAGCCTAAAGGACTAATTTCAGGGCACTGACAAAACCCTCCAGGAGCTGTGCTACCAGTGATGCCCATTGGATACTCACTGAAATGTAGGCACCCTGTTGCAGAGCTCCTATCCTCCTAAACTGATCAACAGCCCAAGGGGATCTTGGCTTCTAAACCCAAGGGCTTCCTCAGCTGCCTTCCCCATTTCAAACTGTCAAGGAGATGAAAAGTAGATGATCAGCATGAGTGAAGGAAGAGGGTTGTGTGACTTGTGCAAGTTGCAGTCCAGTTGCTTTCTTAATTTTTATCTGGCCAAAATTTTCACTTTTGAATGGAAAAAATGTATTTTACCTCCGTTTCTCTTTAAATTTTTATTTGCACAACTTAATTGTAACTGTGCAAATAAAGACACACCGCCATAGATGGGACTCAGAAAGCAGCACCAACCACCTGCTGTGTGAGGGCCTGTCCCTGAGAAAACCATTTGTTTTAGCAGAGGTTTGAGGGGCACAGGCCCTCTACAAAGCAGTGCCACAAGATAGTCATGGTCTTAATAACTCACAGGATGTGTAACTTTCCAGATTCACAACTGTGAGGGTAACAGGCAAGGAGAACGTACAGGGCAGACCATATACATGTTTCTGAAGTCATTGTGTGTGGGATTCTAGTCAGTACCTTACAACAACATCCTTTGGACAAATGTATATAGACACAGAATTTGGTATGCTTTTTTAGAGGTGACACATCGACTCGTGAAACAGGATTCAACAGCAGTTAGTCAGGAGAACTAATTTTCTAGTTACTGACATAAAGGAAAAGAAGCTTTACAATCAGCCATTGTGCTGGTTTTGGTAAAGTGTGGACTTTCACCTGAAGTCCTGACCCACAGATGTGTGACAAAAACACGTACTCCCACTGCAGAAGAATTCACATGTTTGTGTATCTGTTTCATGGGGTTTTATCTCACGCAAAATTACCAATGCAAAGCAGAGGGTAATGTGTTTCCTAATTATTTTAAACAGAGCTAGTTATGTCTGTGTACAGGGACCTATTTCTTCTGGTAGGTTATAAACCCCTCAGTCTGTGACCACTGTTTCTAACATCTCCATATCTTCTTCTGTATAAAATTAATGCTAGCTATAGACAAAAAAGAGCAGTTGGCTTTGTCCTTTTGGATCAGAAGTAACTCAATTTTTATTTCATCTTTTGACATTCTCTGGAGAAAAGCTTATTGGATGGATAAGCAGGAGCAATATAAGGAGAGAGAATGGCTTTTCATCCATTTTACAGATACTTTCATCTCAAAAATACAGGCATGTTTCTAGCACTGAAGTACTATTCGGATACAAGCTGCCCCTTACCGTTTATGGAGAGACTGCTCTTGTCAACTGTGAAACAGGAGCTGTTTTCAAAGGCATCGTGAAAAGTGGCAATGATGTAGTAGATATCCACATCTTCTGCAATCAGTAAATTGAAACTTACCACTGTGCTCCCATTAGTAATACCTGTTACCAACACTTTAATTAGACCAGCATCCATCTGCTGAAGAACTTCAGGGGGCAGAGATTTATGTACCTGCAAAAAAACAAAATTTGGGTGGAGATGGACAGATAGAACCAATTACATTTTAGGCTTTGTACACTGCCTAGGAGAGAGCACTATGCATCACAGTTCTGCTTCGTACTCTAGAGGGAAGCAGACCTTTTGCTTTATAATGTTTCCACTCCACAGCAGCTGAAGGGTACGGTATATATTTAACTATGAATATTAAATAAGCTAAGTGATTAAGATACCTTGTCTGTCATTGGCACAGTTCCTTGTGTCTGGTAACAGAAACGGAGAGAGGAGACTGCAGGGAAGCTCCCATGTTCTGCCTCCCAAAATACCTTCAGGGAGAGAGGTCAACCCAATACAAGGAGGAGCTGCTGATGCAAGTGGAGATACCTCCTGACACTCCACACTGCATACATGTCTCAGAGGGCTCCCTCAGCTCAGGTATGTTACAGCTTAGAGCAGACCAACCTCAAGCCTTCCTTCACAGGTGATTTCTCACCAGAGCCAAGTCTTCAACCCGATTTCAGAAATATTTCATTAAGGCCTTTCCTAAGGAGTATCACATCACTTCTGCAAATTCTGTCTGTTGTCAGGGCACACAGCCCTGGCTCACAGCCCTCCTCCCTGAGAGCCCAAGCACTGGGCTAGGAAATGTCTCTGCACTGTTCTGAATAGCAACAGTCACCCTCAAAGTATTGCAGCACCAAATCACAGCTGAACTTAGGTCAATCTAGAGAAATCAATAAAATAAACATTCACAGTCAGTACACAGTAACCTTGGACGTCACTACTTGCCTAAGAAAGAAAATGCCACCCTTTTCAAATCACACTGAGTCTTAGTCATGATAGCTCCCTTAGCACAATGGAAAACAGAATGGTCCCTGCTTTCTGTAGGATGGGAAAACACAGCTCATCGCGAGACTTTGCATTAGCTGGGCTGCTCAGCGTCTCCATCACCCAGCTCAGATGGAGGCACCGACCCGCCTTGAAGAGATAAAAAGACTGGAGCTGTGTGTTCAACCTCTTCCCTTTCCACCCTCCAAGGCTGCGTACCTTTGGAGGGCAGCCACCCATGGGAACAGCTGTTCCTCCTCCCACAGAAGAGCATTTTGTAGGGTAGGGCACCTGGACTTATGCAGGAGCCCTGGGGGGATGTACAACAGCATTTGCTTTCCCAGCACCATTCCTTTCATCTCCAGGCCCAGCACCAGCCACAAGGAGGAGAAGACACAGGTCAGATGGCAACACCTCATAGGATCAACCCCAGACAAAACACAAGGATAGTATTAATTCAGCTTTAGAGGACATGGGTTATTAATAATAAGTTTCTTGTGCATGGCTCTGCAAATGCCTTTGGCAACTAAAACCACCATTGAGAATTTACATACATCTGTGGTACAAAAGGATATGGCATATATTATGTGGTAATAAATGCACCCTACCAAGACATGAGAGTCATTAAGCTTTAAAATCTGCCAGAAAATAAAATACTTTAAGTAGTTTGTATTGGAAATATCAAAAATGTTCACAACAGAAAAAAGCCAATTTGTCATTTACCTGTAGAGTGTGGTTACCTTGAGAGTCTTAGCATCTCTATCTAGCACCAACTCAGCAATGCAGGAATATGTATGTAAGTTTTCATCTTTCATAGCTTTTGTCTGAACATAGTTTTGTCTGAACACAGATCTGTGCCTTCACCTGTACTCCCTTCTCATCTGTCCTGAAGATTTTATTTTATTAGTGCTTCTTTTTACCTAAGGCTTGGGAGATTGGGATTTTTTTATTGTTTGTTCTTTTTGTTTGGTTGGTTGGTTGGTTGGCTTGTTTCTGCTCTTATTCACATCATTTCTCACACAGCACGTCTCAGAGTGTGGAGTGTCAGGGGACAGTGACGGTATTTGCATTTAGCCACTAAGTGGCACTACAAACCCCTTTATCCAGCACGCTACATGATTTCACAGGTACCACACCCTCGGTTATCAAAGTAATGGTCGATAAAGTGGGACTAGAAAAAAGGAAAAGAAAGAATTAACTTTTTAGAAGGAACTATTCGATGTATAACACCCTTGAGTATAAGGTTTTCCTACTAATATCTTGGGATCCATCATTTATTCTCCAACTTCTGTAGCACACGAAAGAAACATGAGTAATGACAGAGCAGGAGAAATCAGTATGCCAGAAGTGCAATAAGAAAGGGAGAGAACATGAGCAAAATTAACACCAGTGCTAAGGGAAGGGAATGTCCATTACCCCTGTCTTTTCCATGTGACTCCTTATAAAAGGGGAGTCTCCATCTTCTTTGTAGTCACCCTTTCAGTACTGGAACATGGTGATGAGGTCTCCCCTGAGCCTTCTTTTCTCAAGGGTGAGCAGACTCCCTTCTCTCAGCCTTTCCTCATGCGACAGGTTTCCCAGTCCTCTGATCATCTTTGTGGCCCTTCTCGGGACCCTCTCCAGCCTGTCCACATCTTTTTTGTACAGCAGGGACCAAAACTGAACACAGAAGTCCAGGTGTGACCTGACAAGTTCTGAGCAGAATGGAATAATGACATTTTTATCTTTACTGGGGATGCCCTTGTTGATTTGATCCAGCTTCCTATTGCTTTCTTTGCTACAGCTGCACACCGTTCACACACATTGAGCTTGCTGTTCACCAGGATCCCCAGGTTCTAGAGATGCTCCCCATCGTGGTAGATTCCAGCCTGTGCTGCAGTCTTAGATTATGTTTTCCCAGGTGCAAGACCTTACATTTGTCTTTGTTGAACTTCATAAGGTTCTTGATAGCCCACTCTTCCGGCCTATCCACGTCATCCAACAGGGTGACTCTTGCTTCCAAAGTGTCCACTTCCCCATTCAGTTTGGTATAATCTGCAGACTTGGTCAGGGTACACCTGATCCCATCTTCCAGATCACTTACGAAGATCCTAAACAGCGCTGAGCCCAATAATGATCCCTAGGGGACTCCACTAGTGAGAGGTTGCCAGTTCAAAAAGTAACTATTCACCACCACCCTCTGGGTGCAGCCTATCAGCCATTTCCCCACCCACCATCTAGACAGTAACATGTCAGTTTCCTTAGGAGGAGAGTGTGGGAAATGGCATCAAAAGCCTCGGAGAAATCCAGGCAGACAGTGTCCACTGCCTGTCCCACATTAACCACGCAGGTTACTGTTGTTGCAGAAGGTGACCGTTTCTGTCAAGTACAATTTGCCCCTGGTGAATCCGTGCTGGCTTCTCCCAGTCATGTACTTTATGTGACTTGTGATAGCCCCCAGGAGGATTCAGTCCATAACCTTCCATACCACTTATCAGTAAATCTGGTGAGCCAATAATTCCCTGGATCCTCCTTTAGGCCCTTCTTGTAGACAGGGCAATGTTAGCTGTCTTCCGAGACATCCTCTGATCTCCATGACTTCACAAAGATTATGGAGAGCAGTCTCACAATGACATCAGCCAGACACCCTTGGGTGGATATTGTCAGGGCCCATTGATTTGTAGGGGTCAAGCTCCTGTAACAGTTCGCATACCAAGTCTTCCTTCACCGATGGTGGGTCTGCATTTGCATCAACCTGGGTCTTTGTTCCCACGACCTGGGTCCCAACACTGCTGGTAAAGACAGAGGCACAGAAAGTGTTGAGAACCTCCACCTTTTCAGCATTGATGGCAACTAATTCACCTCTCCTGCTCAATAGCAAGCCAGTATTTTCCTTGTGCTTCTGCTTTCTTGTAGTTTTTGACATCTCTGGCCAATTTTAGTTTGATCTGAGATTCTGCTTTTCTAACTGCATCTCTGCACATCCTGATAATGCCCTTGTAGTTCTCAATGGGTATCCATCCACTTTTCCATCTCTGGTATGCTTTTTCTTGGGTTTGGAGCAGACTCAGAAGCTCACAGTTAAGCCAAGACAATCTCCTGCTTTGCCCACTTTCCTTACCTTTACATGAATTGTTTCTGTGCTTCCAAGGAGAGCACTCTTAAAAATCTCCCAGCACTTGCTAGCTCCTTTAGCCCCCAGGGGAGCTTTGCACAGAATCCCTCCGAACTGAGCTCTGAGCGAGCTTCTAAACTCTAAACAAGATTCTAAACTCTAAAACCTTTGTCTTAGTACTAACGCTCAGCATGTTCAGCCAGACTGCAAACTCCAGACCCTAGAACATTATGATCACTGCAGCCAAGGGTATCATTAGCTCAGATATTACGAAGCAGTTAAGACACCCACATTCAAAACAACTTTTCCACTCAGGTACTTAATGCACCTCAGTGAGTGCCTTTTCAATTCAAACCTTTTGTTTTCCTCATTTGTTTTCCTGAGGACAAGCCCTAGCTGCCATCATATTCTCCTTGGCTGTTGGCAAATGACAGGCTGAGTAAAACCCAGGACGAAGAAAATGCTCTCTCACCCTTAGCTATGTTGTTTTTCAGATGCATTGCAAGGAGGTAAAACAAGCCTGGATAATGACAGTGCGAGTTGTCACACTGAGTTTTTATCTCATTTTCATCTACACATTATTCAAAGGATGGTATTTCCATTTGCTGTGCTGCCAATTTAACCACATGGCACCTAAGTGCTGGGGCAGCTCTATGCTAAAGAACATTATACACATCAGGTTTTATAAATGCTCTGAATTGTAGATGGTGACTCCACAGAGATAAAAAAAAATATCTCTGGCAAAGTCTGCGTAAGTGGAACCTGATAGTACTTTTAAAGCCCATGAGACTTTCCTCTATTACTGTAAAGGATCAGTTTCTGCTCCTCATAACTTAAAAACAAAAAATCCAGATCTTTCTGTTTTCCTAAACTTCTTTTTCTTTTTTTTTGCATCTAGAAACACATTTGTAATAAAACACTCACAACATATTTTGCCATATAGAGTGGCCATGCAGCTATAACCTATAGGTGGCTCAGAGGTAGATGGAATCAACACTAACACATCTCACCAGCTGATCCACAAAAGCAGTATGCTGGAAAAAGGACCTAGTGCCTTATTATCAAAAGGGATCATTTTCTGCCTAAAGAGAACTGGGTAAAACTGACACAATACTTACTTTAGCTCCTCTGTGCAATCATTTTACAGATTTCCCTAATATATTTGCATTGGTGATTTTCTGGATGAAGTTACCTTAGTGAATGAAGAAAATAAATATATTCATTTGAGTCCATTTTAATGCTATGCTATTCCAAAATAGCCTCAGGCAGGAAGTGGTGCTGAATGAGAGTGAGGTCAGTGGAGAATTACTCCCTTTTCACTTTGCTAATCATGTCACTCTCATTTTGTAACTGTTTTGGTGATATGATAGCTTGAGGCCAAAACAACTCTGAGAAAGCTGTGCTCCACTAACACATCCAGAAAGGTGCAAACCAGCAATGACCAATGGGAAACTTATTTGATATCCAAGAAAACATCATTCACTGCTAAAGAGATTGCACTTTTCCCTCCTTGCAGTTGTCTCTAACCCCATGCTGGCCTGACCTCTGCCTGAATGCATGCTGCTGTCAGTGCACCCACTGCAGGCAGCTGTATTTCAGTGACAGGTTTTAACGCCTCTCACAGTGAGAGTCTCTGGAGGCCTCTGTGAGGTTTGAGAATTCATATGATTGTCAGCAATGGAGTTATCAGCACAGTTATCAAAAGCCTCCAAAAACACAGGCAGGGGAGATAAGGAATGCTATAAAGGAGCCCAGCATAAACTGCAGTTCTCCAAGCACAGGTGTGTTTGAGTAAACACCAGCAGGAACAAATTTCTGATAAATTCCCTAAGAAATTAGGAGAGTGATACTATCAAAGGCAATGCCTGGGAATTATGAGAGCATTATAGGCACAGCTGATGTCACAAAGTGCTTTGATAACCTGCTCTCTAATTAGAATCAAGGGCAGAGGTGACTTATCAAGAAACCACTCCCTTTCCAGCTACAGGGCTACAAAATCAAGGATGATTACAAGAAATGCCAGCTCTAAGGTACAATGGCAAAACAATGATACAGTTCATTAATATAGTGCTGTGCAGGGCAAGGATATCAGAGCACTTTACAAGTATGCATTAACTTTTCACCACACCCCTGGAGGAAATCAATAAGCCAGTATAACCAGGTTTGAGAAACAGAGGAAATGGAGGCACAAGAGAATCCCAAAATCCTGATCTCACTCTTAAACACAGCTGCAAGCTCATCCTGCAGTCTCAGACAGGGGAACTCAGACCTTACAGATGTGGTATATAGGCTTCATGGGAAAAAGATGGTACACGTGATTTCACTGAGATGGGTAATAGGACATGTCCTTCTTATCTACTTACTTCATCAACAAAGAGGTGTGCAAAGGCTTGATATTCCTCACTGCTTGTGTTGCTAAAGCTCAGAGAGTATTTTACATTTGTTATCCGTACTGTGCCACTAAGCTTCTGGACAGCTGCAAAGTAAGAAAAAGACAATTAAAATACATGTTTTATGGACTGTAGTCCCTGAACAAGTGTGTGACAGTCACCGGCATGTCCAGCAACATGGCGTATGCACCAATTCATAACAGAAGGCCAGCCTTCTGAAACGTAGCCGAAACCCCGAATGCCTAAACATTATTCAGCACCTTAATCTGCTCTGTCTGACCCCCAAATAACTCTCAAGAAGGAAGTCTTATATCTGCCAGCTTTACCTTAGATCCTCTGGAGCATCTGAAATGTTGCTCTATGGCTATGTTCAAGCACCCGAATTGTTCTCCTAGACTCAGCTAGCCTTCCCAGCTTGCCTCTACATGCAACAGGGCAACACCAGTTCCCTCCTGAGGGCAAATCATTGCAGCACCAATGTCTTCCCTCCAACCTCAGAGGAAGGCTAGACAGCCGCCCGAGATTACACGTCTACATTTTAGACAGCTGTTGTAAGACAAGATGAACCCCAACAGGGTTTTGCCTGCTTAAAGCAAGCTGCCGAAGCAGACTTCCTTTATCCCAGTATGCTTCTGATCCCAAAGGAACCCTTATCACCACCACCAGTCAGATCAAAGGATTTGGGCTTGCTTTTTGCTATGGCTTGTCCTGTCACGTGAACATGGGAAAAAGGAGATAAACCACATTAATTTAGGAGATAAACCATGTTCATTTAACTGATGGCAAGAGGAGAAAATGTTCTGAACAATTTTCAAACAACAAAAAAAATACCCAACAGTACTTAAAATGCTTGACAGAACATGAAGAGCTGGCTGAGGTTAATTCTCCAGGTCAGAAATGTCGCCACAAGGAGGAGCTATATATTAACCTTCACCAAACACATTTTTTCCCCTCAATTTCCTGCACAAGGCTATTGAGATACCACTATGGTGGCTCATCTTCTTGCTCCCCAGGCATAATCCCTCCACAAGCTTCTTTCCCAGCATTTGGCAGAATACTGGATTCATTTATTTCAGGGAAAAAAAAAAGTTTTTATAAACTGAACCTGTTTGTGTAGAATTCTTCGATTTATTTTCCAGCCACAAAAACCCCACAATAACAATTTTTTCACTTTTCCCTACATTGACAGATGGCAGTGGGGACAAAGCAAAGCAAAGGAGTAAAGGGAGATTTTAAATTCAGGTCAATATATTGTTTGGTCCAAAATTGTTTGCTTCCTCCATTTGGCCACCAAGGTTCCAAATGAGTTATTTTCCCAGCTCTGTTCCCAGGTTTCACCCATGCCAGGCAGAGCAAAGGATACAGTCTGAAGAAGAGAGAAGGCAGAAGCTGAGCAGTGGCATCAGCAGGGCTGCCCAGAGCTGAGCAGGACTGAGAAGTACAGATGCTGCCACCAGTGACCAAGACTGGTGGTACGAGAGAGGCTGGAGAAGCAGCAGAGCTGGACTTACATGGCTGAAATAGGTTTTCCATGGAGAAGGAAATGAGAGAGAAGCAGAAGTGGGGCTGGATGAGTGGAGATCCCAGGAGGAGGAGAGAGGGGAAGGGAAGAGGAAGGAGCAGAGGGGAGTGCATTTTTGGACTGGAGAGATGTGGAGGGCATGAGAAGTGGAATAAAGACAAGCAGACACGAAACTGAAATAGGTATCACTTACTGACACGCTAAAGAAAAAATACATTTAGTCATGGGCAGGGACAGCAGCACTCCCATCCCAAATAACCATAATTTGAAGACCAAATCTGACTCTAACCTTGAAATATGATTCAGCTCCAATCAGCAGAAAACCCCCCTGATTAGCTGCAGTACATCTGCCCAAACCCAAACAGATTAAGCCCTCCCGCCAACCTAGTTACTCTCAATTACAGCTCTCAAAAGGTTTCCATGCAACTCCTGCCCTACAAGGGATTTGCAGGGCTCTGCCTAATCCATCTTCCACTGGATGAGGAATGGGAAGACAGGTCATTTGCCTTCCTGGGTCTCGAAGATAACATTATAGTCAGCCATGGCTGCAGCATGCTGGTGCCAGAGGATGCAGGAGAAACCAAGATGTGTGGCAAAAGGACAAACAGCACATATTTCAATGAGGCACATTCAGCGCACTGTATTATTTCTTCATATGCTTTGAGAATAAAAACCAAACAAATAAATACTACTTTCAGAGTAAAAATTTATGAAACTGACTACTAGATTAGCAGAAAGAGGAATTATTTTGACATGTTGATTTAGGAAAAATGTGCTGATCATGTAAGAAAATAATTCTTGCATAGAAAAACTAGTTTCAGACACCTTTATCCCAGACCACTGATTCCAACTGTGTGTCTTTCCTGACTCCAGGTGAGGCACTGCTTCTCGTGCAGCCAAATCATTATGCATGTAAGCCCCTGCCAAACTCATACTCACTGCGGTTCATGGCTAGGACTGGTGTCAGGCTGGGAGCTGGAGAGGTGCCTGGCAAAGCTGGTGACCCCAGGGCTTCAGGGTGTTTTTCAGACCAAGAGCTGTTCTCTCTTCCCATCTCTGCATATGCTTTTATAGTGGTGTTGGCAGTGGGAACACTGGCATCCCCTATGGCCAGCAGAGCTGTACTGGGGCCATCTTCAGAGTTGGCTTGAGGTGCATCAAAAGCTGTGTGGCTTCTGGTGGTAGCTGTTTGATTTGGAAACACCAGCAATGACAAACTGAGTTGCCCTTGCCCAGCTGTGCCCATGGGTGCATTTGTGAGAGCAGCCACCTGCTGCAATGCACCAGGGGAAGCCTCTGCCATAGAGCTTTGCTGCGATGGACTTATGGCCAATTCCTTGCTGGCTGTGGCCCCTGCGGCCATGGGGCTGTTGTCCCTACTGAAGTCCATCTGTGATGCCAAGCCTTTTTCCCAAGGGGTTGGAGGAACACTGGTGGGAGAATGACCACGGGGTGCTTGCTCGTCACCCTGGGACAGTGCAGCAGGGAGGTGTACTGCAGTGCTAGTCTCAGAGCCTGTAGCAGCCACCATCTCTGTGGTGGCAGGGGAAGCAGGGTCTGCAGAGCTTACTTCTTCAGGAGCAAACTCTGTGCTGTTTGCTCTTTCAGGAGCCACTGTTTCAGGGAGAGGGTCTACAATCTCACCTGAAACACAACAAACACATTGAAATGGGACCTCAAACGAGATGAGGACACAACAGGGTCTGGCCTAAAAATGAGGCTGAGAGCACTCAGCCATGCATAATAGTGTTACAGAAATGGTTCTTGGATATTTCATTAACACATTATGGTGTATGTGGTTGTTATGATATTGAACCTGGTCTGTGCCTACACAAAGAAGCAGATTTCATTCCTGGGTCTTTTCTTCTGGTTGGCAGGCCAGGGATCGTTACAGTGGGAAGAAATTAGCCACAGACATAGCAAAAGAGGAAAAGGTATGCCTTATGTTCCTCAGCAGTCAGTTAGTAAGCTAATCAAGGGAGGATCTCAAAGATTTCACTTGAAGATGCATATAAGGTTCAGAGACAGGTCATATGTAGGCCTTCAGCCACAGACTGCAATGGTGCATCTATATACACATTGTGAGTTATATAAATAGCTGCAGTAAAAGCAGAGGTGAAAAAAGTTCCCACCATTCATGCCAAAGGGAAACTACATGCCAGTTTTCTGCTCACCCTCACAGTTTCTTCCAGGTCGGGACGGGTTGGTATCCATGGTTGTCTTGCATCTGCACGTGTATGAGCCCATCAGGTTGATACACTCCGCAGACATAGAGCAGTCATTCTCCACACAAGAAGCACATTCATCCCAGTCTGTAAGGCCAAAACCAGAACACTGGTCAGATAGCCTCCCCTCTGGCTGCATTAAGCTAGAAATAATCCTGAAGTAGTCCTTTCTTCAGTTTTTGAATTTGTGAATGTGGTTTTCCCTTCTCATCACTTAGGTGACAGCCAGGCTCTGAGTGATGCACAACACTGTCTGTGTTGTTATTCTCTTGCCCAAAAATCAATCTTTTGTCTTTGTAATCTGAGAAATATTTTCTCCAAGTAAAAACTTTTAAAATATTTTTTTTAAAGTAAACACTTATTCAATGTGAAAAAGAATATTTTAAGTTTGTACTATAGCTATAGCAAAAGCATAGATTGTACATAGACGTTCTGCATACAGTACCTCCAGATACATCAGGCAATGAATGGAACTGTTACCACTAGCTACCAGCAGATAGAATATTAAGTAATCCAAATAATCTTCTGCCTCCAATAAAAGGTAAATACAAGTAACTCCCACGAGAAGCACTCCTCAGTTCATAACAGAGGAAGTGCTAAGGGCAAAACTCTTTTTATAAAAGCTTTCTTGTCAAAGATAATACTGTAAAACTGTGACCTCCTTCTGGTAGTCTTAGGAAAGAGATCCTAGTTCATCAGTGCATGAATATGCTCTAAGGGTGTCCCTTATGTCTAACTTCAGCTGCTCTGGATCAGTTAGACATGCTTCTTTTCATATAGAAATATTTTATTGCTCAGTCTCTTTACTCTTTAGGGATTTAGATGTGCAGTCTTATATCACCATTTGCACCCAGCAAACATGCAAAGGCCGGGTAAATACTCTGGAAATGAATAATCTCAGTGAATCCCATGTGAGCCCTCCCTGTGTGCACTCCCTTGTGCATACACCTTGAGAGCCTCAGGGCTGTAAGTGAGGGAAAGCAGAAAACTAGACTGAAAACTGTGTCTTTGGACAAATGATTCTGATCAGAGGCAAGAAAACTGTTTTGAACAATGCGTTATTGTAACTGCTTGTTCTGCAGACATGCGGGGATTAATGACTGATTATTTCTCTGAAACAAAGAAAAGTCCCAGTCTAGAAACAGAAAGCACAGAGAAGGTGTGTGCATGCACATACATGAGTTCATCTTTCTGCTGTGCTGACAGCCTTTCCCTTTTACTTCCTTCAGCTAATATTTCCATTCTTTCTCTTCTTCATTAGATAATTGTTGCATCAAAGATTGTTTCCATTAGACAATTTCTTGTGCCTATGGCCACATCTGCCAATTATGTTATAGCCTAAGCCATTTGGAGGGAATACAGAAGTACCCAGGACTGACTAAAGCATCAGCAATGAAAGTGCTCTCATTAATGAATTACTATGCTATGAAGTAATTGTGACCCTTCAAACACCATCGGAGAGATGCTCCTGTGCTGATTGCCAGATAATTTATGTTCACTGGCTCCACTGTCTCAGAGGGTTTTCTTTCTCATCACTTAGCATTGTGATAGCTAATGGCTTCACATGGCTTAGCATGGCTTTTTAAGCAAATTTCTTAACCTGTGACGGCCACATTCAGTCATGCATCGGGCCAAAACAGTTATGTTCTCCGTGCTTACTGTCATTTGCTCTGAATACCCACTGTATCTATAAGAGATAAATACAATAGGTAAAAATCTGTGAAATTCTTTGACTAATGATATTGCAGATGGTAAAGATTTGCATGAGTTCATGGAGATCCCAAGGAGGAGAAACCCACAGAAATCACTCTGGATTCAGGGAGTCCTGGAGCAGAAAACAATTGGTAGCTAAGAGAGTATTAGTGAGAAGCATCATACATCTTACTGTATTGTTCTTATTTCAGTTTCTCCAGGAACTGGCTCCTGGGTGCTACTGAGGGCATCATACTGTGCTAGGTGGATCTTGGGCCTGACTCAGCACACATCCCTTTTTCTTTTCCTACCATGCCTCACGCAATAGACAGACATTTTAGTGTCTCTGTTCATCATGGCACTAAACTTAATACTTTATGAGTCTTCAAAGAAAGATGCAATTGCTCCAATCCCTTCAATTATGCTATCCCTTCTGAATTCTCGCTTTTGGTGTTTCAAAATTGAATTCCCTGCTCTGCCACTGTCACTAAATCAAACACATAGCCTTTTGGTGGCCAGGCTCCACCATGGATAGAGGTGGAATTGCACCACTGCTGCAAGAGGATTTGTGTGAGCGTACTATCAAAGGGCATGGCCCAGGACAATCAGGAATCATGAAGTAAAACATCCCATTATACAGATCTTTTCTTCATATACCTCACTCCTTCACTTTATTTTCTACCAAAAAAAGCCTGTTTGGTTAGAGCCAAGAGATAGCCCCCTTTTTTCTCCCCCATAAGGAGGAGTTGGCTGAGCTCCTGGCTGAGTGGTGCTACTGGAGCCCATCTGGTTTTCTGCAATCAAAGGAACAGTTCAGAGCTATTGTCTTTTCCCTCACCACTCTTTCGGGCCCAGGATCAATAACATTTTGGCACACGTCAGGATCCTGCAATTCAGCATCCACAACCACTGTGTTATTTGTAGGCTTCAGGTGCAATTTGTCTCTTCCTGTTTTTTTTCCTGTCCTGTTCTCCTTTACCTCCATATGCTCTACAACCCCAAAGGGAGTTTTCCCTGAGCACAGTAAATAAGCTTTTAAGGGTTCAGTATACTGGGACAGAAGAATAACCCATTCTGTTGGCTTTGGCAACTTTCTGAACTCTGGCTGGCTCCAGCAGCTGAAAACCTGAAGCCAGAACTTAGCTCTTTGAAGATAAAAATGGTGATTAACAAAGATCAAACAAAGGCCTCATTTAACATAAATTCCATACATGTTTCTTTAGTCCTATTCATTGAGAGGACATCTGGGAATTTCTCTCGCTGGATTTCTATAATGAAGATGTTAGATTTCTTAAACTCTGGCCCAAATACAGCCCCACAGCTTTGAAGCACAGAACTGTCTAGAGGCCATGAGTATGTAAAGGCTACAAATATTCCACAGTAATCATATCTGCAGTTCAGTGAGAGAAAGATATGGCAAATTTCCAACTGCTCACAAAGAGGAAAGGGAGGAAAATCAATAAGGAAACCAAGAGTTCCACTTCTCCTTGAACACAGTGGAGGGCAGCAGTGCCTGCAGGTACTGGAGACAGCCAATGCTGCTTCTTCTGACCCCTTCTGAGTTTACGGATAAAGGCCTACAGATGAGTTCTCACATCATGGTTTTCCCTGCAACAAACCATGTACTTTGTCTCTCTACAAAATACTTTTGATGAAGAATGCTGGTGAGACTGTGCACCATCAAAATACAGTCCCTGTTTTCCTGTAAAAAATAAGTAATTACCTTCTACTGCAGTGTTTTGCTGATCCACCGAAAGCACCGAGCCATTGTGCAGGTAAGAAAACACCAGGGCAAGTGTGGAGGCATCAAGTGGAAACTCGGGATCCTGCACAGTGATTCTGAGCCTCGCAATGATGCTTCCAGCTTGCAGGGATTCCACCTGCACTTTCAGCTTCCCAGATTTGTATAAAGCAGAAATGTTGGGTGGAAATGAATTTTCAAGCTGAGCAAAAGGAGAGACACATCAGCGATTAGGAACCCAACAGGAATAGCTCCTTTTAAAACTGAGCTATGGTGGTACCATTTTAAAGATCTATATATACATAACATAGAAAATGTTGTAAAAAGAAAAATTTCAAAGAGTTTCAGAAATCTTACTTCTCAGAGATTACTGAGGCACACAGAAGTGTGGCTCTCCTTGGTGCACATAGGTATCCTTGGAAAATGGTACCCATCTGACCACTGGTCTTACAAACCAAGCTTAATTTTGGCTCAAGAGAGCAGAATACCTTTTGCTCCTGTTTACCAGCATCACAACTGAACTGGCCCACTAAATCTGCATGCAGACTGATGTTAGATGTGTATGTTATGTAAGCTTTTTGTCCCAGGCCTCCTATACGTTTGCTTCTGCACTTCCAGACTCTGGGAGTCTGGTTTGTGCCAGTTGGTGTTAGTGCCAGAGAATGGTTCAGGAAATGTTTCATTTACCAGTAGAGCATAGCTTTAGCTCACAGGGAGTATTTGAAACTCACCAGCCCAAGTCCAACTTGGAGCTGAGTCCAATGATATAGAAATCTCAGGACGAGAGACAAAAAAAATGGAGGGTGTAACTTCAAGAAAATGTGTTGGATACAGCCCAGCTTCAAGGCAATATCACAATTACATCATGGTTGATTATCAAACCAGTAAGCAGACACATTCATTGACCAAATGGTGCTACTTTGAACGTTAAAGCTGGCATACTGCTGTCAACATTTGAGCTGTGCAGGAGCTGGCAGTTTTATCTTCCATCTCCAGAAGGCATCTCTTTGCTTGAGCCTTTTGCTCCTACATACACCTCAAAAAATGCCTTTGAGCACACAATGTAGAGCCATAAATCAACACAGCTTTGCTCCCATTCAGTCAGAGTTTGCTCTAAAAATTACTCCAACCAAGATGTGTAACTGGTCTAAGCTGACATCAGGGTGGGAAGGCAAGAGAGGAGAGAGGAAATGAGATGGGAATGTTATGCTCACAAACACCCAAGGGGGCAAAGGTAACAGGGATGGGCAATGCTCCTGTGCCTTCCTTACCCCATTATGACCATTAGGTCTGCGTTAGTCTCAGAGAAGATTAAATCACAAAAATCCTTCTGTGCAACAAATGTGAACAATCTAAGCTACGGATGGGAAATAAAGCCATGTCAGGAATGAGCAAATGTCTCTTCTTTGCTGCCTTTGAAACGGTCTTTTTCCTCACATTTATATTCACAAATGTTTATGTGTCACACTTTGGTTTAGGAATGTCTTGTTTTGAATGGAGATCCCAATTCCTCTTTATGGGCCTTGCTCTTACAGCAAAACTAGAGATTACTGCACCTGCAATGTCCCCCCTGTTTTGGAAGCTGAGGGCTGGTAATAGACCTCATGACTCAACTTTTGTTTATGGCTGATTACAGCTGAGCATGGTCAAGTGTGTGCATGCAATGAATGGAGCTGGAGAAGAAAGCCTGATCCAGTTACTTTTCCTAAAAGAAGGCAGACCCTTGAGAGCAGTCAGACATTTATTGAGAGGACAGCACTGAAATTAATGCCAGCAATGTCATTTCAATAATCCATTAAAAAGCCTCAAGTCAATTTAGTGCGAGTTTACTGCCAAACTATAGATCCAAGGAAAGGGTCCTTGTTGCCTGCATTTTTAATTCCTTTACTCCTCAGTAGGGGAAAATTCTCATTGGTTCTACTGTTAATAAGGCCAAGGCTTTGATCTGTCTAGTCAGCTGAATTTTGATTCAGTTATAAAGAAAGGTCACAGGAAACAGAATGAGGATTTTCAAGGGGCATTTCAGCCAGGCATAAAATTCTCTGTTATATTAAATAAATTTTAAATTAAAAAAAATAAAAACCAAAACCACATATATATGTATACTTATATATGCATAAAACTCAGAGATATTTTAGCACTACCTCCATAAGCAGCAGTCTTGAAAATTCTTCATATGCTAAGCTACTGGCATTCTTGAAATCATCAGTGAAGTTGTAGTTGAGAATCCTCATAGTAACACCAAACACCTTGGCTTCTGTAGGACATAATACAAAAATACACAGTGACAAAGAAGAAGATGGAAGGATTCAGTCAAAACTGAGCTACCCAGACCAAAATCTCAGATGATGGAGGGAGAAGGCACGGAGAAGGTTGAGAGAGTTTGGTATTAAACTGAGAAAATAAAGCAAATGTTCTGCTACAAGCTTCCTATATAATGAGGAGATGCACATATGTTAGGTCTATAAATACATTTAGGTGCCTAGTTAGAACCAAATGTGAACTGGGTGTGCACATATTCTCATGGACCTGACCCTTCATAACTCTTGCGCTTGAGTTACATCCAGGGTTGCATTGCCTCTGAGCTCATCACTGGTCTTCCAGTCACAGTATTTACTTTTTTTTTCCTGATCTTGGTATTATGGATATAGTAAATATATTCTTCAACTGGAAATAACAACAAAAATGTGCATGCCACTTCTCTGTCTGGTGAGCCCTGATAGATAACATACAGAGCTCATGAACCAAAACCAAGAGCCAAGGAACCTATAACCCCTTTAACCTGTGAAAACAATCTCAGGCTGTTACTCTTTGGACTGATCTTTGGAAAACCTTTATTTTAATAACTACTATTTTTCTCAAGGGCTCCAACTTCATACCCTGAACTCCAGCCCCCTGTTCCTGTAACCACCAGACCTCCTACTTTTCCTGTACAAAGGGAGTAATTTCCTTCTGACCCAAACTGGAGTCAGCCCTCATCTGATCAAATGGGAGGCTTTTATGGATAAATATAAACAGCAGCATTCTCACTGTGGCTAGTATTAAATAGCTCACTGCCTGCTTTTTAAAGAAGATGGGGATAGGATTATTTCTTTATTTCCATGCAGGCTTAGGAAACAATTTAAGGATAAAGGAAAGGCAAAAGTATGTTTGATCAGCACACTAAGGCCCAGGTTGCTAGAATCATGACCTAATTGAACAAAAGCATCCAGGTACTCTGCGAGCTTTCTTACACAGCCCTGGTTATTCCCTTTAATCCCCGTCACTCACAAACACTCAGCTGAATCTGGCCTTCCTCTGGGCACTCTTGGTAGCTCAGCTGATCCCTTGAGAAACCAGTTGACTGGATTTCTCACTGGCCACAGCCATCAACCAGGAAAAATGGGGCTGATGGGAGATGGGCAGCAGCAGAATGCAGTGCCAGGCACACACACACAGAAGCATTCTAGCTTAGTTTGATACCTCTAATAGTCTGAGTCAGCTCCAGCACTGCTTTATTAACTAAGGCCAGAGCTCTGCTGCTTGATAGTTGAGGTCACACAGATACTGGGGTAGATGACACAAAAAGTGCTGAAAGAGGTGGGAAGATGGGAAATGCAGTTCAAAGAGGACCAAATGGATCATTGCTGACCTGCAAGTGAGTGAAGGGGTGAAGGGAGGAGAGAATGCATATATATTATAAAGTTATTTACCTGTTTTAACATTTTGACGAGAGATGCTGGTTTTTCCACAGGTTTCATAGCTGATCTCTACTGAATACATCACACCTGCTTCCAGCTGAGACACATCCACTTTCATTTCCTCTGTCTTCAGGTTTTGTACAATCTCTTTGCCCTTGAACACTTGGACTTGGAAAGTATGGTTCAGAGTAGAAGTGACATTCCAGGACATTTCAAAACTGCTGCTGTTGACGCTGAAGACTCGGTGGTTTCCAACTGTAGAGGGATCTGTTCCAATCCCAGGAAGAGTCATCACAGGAAAAGCAACATTTAATCTTTAAAGTATTGTGGTATTGTAAATCCACTATAGACAAGCTCTTTGACAATCAATAGGGGAAACTCCTCTTTATATTACATCAAGACAGAACCTTCTCCTCTCACACTACAAGGTCCCCTCATCTATAAACCATCCCACTAGAGCGATTAATTTGGTGCTTACCTTTTTTTATTTCCTTTTACTGTAAGTATTTGTGCTGGACCTCACGTAACACTGACAATCAGACAGTGAGTTACAGGTTCAAGCAATAGGGTTAAGTTTGGAATAGTGAATCTGCGTACTCTATAAAAATTGACACCTACTATCCTTCTTGTCACTTTTATCATCAAAATGCATGTCTTCAGGCAAAGGCTGCCTTGATTTATGCCTGGAGAAACCCCACAGACCCCAGCTTATAGAGGCTGGGGGCAGAGCAGCAGGCAGCGTTTCACCTATATATGCTACTCTAGTCCAGTGCAATCACTGTTGTGTCAATGGGAAAAGACAGGACCCTTCAGAGATGATTTCCTCCTCGAAGGAGGAGGTGGTGTCTAAATTGAGTAGGATTAATTGCCCTCTAGCAGAGCCAATCTGTATCCACTAACTACAGGCAGAGCCCAGACTAGACACTTGTCCTGTAGACAGCTGGGGTCAGGTGAGATTAACATCATCCCCCATGCTAACCTAGAGACCACAGCATGCTGCTGCCACAACTTCAATTCTTTCATGCTAATGATTAGCCTGAGAAAAAAGTTTGTTTTCTGAAACTGTTTCAATAGAACATAATTGTTTCCATGACTCTGAGGCAGGTGGCTGCCAACCAGCCCAAAGCCATACTGCTCCAGCACTAGGGGGACTTCGGTTTAATTCCTCTATCTCCAGCTTGAATCAGAAGCTGTGGATGAAATCAAGAATATCCAGCCTGTCTCCCTGAATTAGGCAAATAACTACTTCGAGCTATTTCCTCCAACAAGAAAAACAGGGTGTTGTAAACAAAGTTTGGGATAACTCTTGCCTGAATGGGCTAAAGTCATCCATATAAAGACAGATCTACTGGGGTTTGTTCCCATCACAGTCCCTTAGACAGCTGTAGTGTACAGCAGGGAGAGTATTCACAAAGGTTATTTCCAGTGTAGCACAGCTGTAGCCAACCTCTCTGACTCATGTCCCCCATCAACAACTTCATGGATTCAAAAGCAAGAAGTGCCCTCATCCTGGTGTCTGTGGTCAGTGGGAGCTCCTGTGATTGGTAGCAGATCCTCCCCTACCTTGTTCCAGGACATGCAGTGACCTGTGTTCCAGGTGAGTGAGTGGTGGTGCTGGCCTCACACAGCCCTCACTGGCAGGCTGCTTGTGCTGTAGGATTATCTGTCACAAGTGCTGTGGTGAGACACGCATTTGAATGGCTCACCAGGCCACTTCCAAAAGGCCAATTCCCTTCAGTAGCCATGGGAATAGCAGTAGAGCTTCTCCAGTGGTCAATTCACAGCATCACAGCCCTTGAGCTGAATGTCCCATTGGGGAAGCCTCTCTCCATTTCCATCAGTGGAGAGCCACTCCAAAATTATTACTAGCTTCTGTGAACATCCCTCTGTAACTCAACCAGCCCCAGGAATAAAGGATCAGACAGTGGCTGAATCAAAAACAAGACAATATTCATGCAAATTCAAGGTTACTTACAGCACCCAGCATCTGTAGGTTGGTTAGTTATGGACAACAGACTTGAATTGCTTACAGGCAGGGAGCTATAGTTGGTGTTAACAGGACCCAGTGCTGAACTTGGAGTAGATGTTGCTATGCCTAGAAGGAAAAATAATATCATCAAAGAATTAAAGTATTCCTAACAAAGCAAATCCGAACGAATACTATTCATGTTTTCTGCAGCTGAAATCAGCAATAGATGAAACAGAAATTAAAATAAATGTATTATCCTATCACGAAAGTATAAAGTAATACATTATCTTCTTTTTTGAGATTAAAGGACTGTAAAATTATTTTCTAAGGCATTGGATCTGCAAGCACTTATTTATCTCATTAACTTAAAGCCTATTAGCAGGCCCATTGATGTCTGTGGGACCTAAGTGTATGCCTCTATATTTTGCCGAACTGGTACTGCAAAGTATTATTTCACCCATTGCCAAACTCCGTCTGCTCCAACAGAGGACTCAGTGACCATACAGCAGCTCAAGGTGGGATTATACAACCTTTGTGCCCTGGCTGCTGTCACACAGTCAAAACGGGAAGGAGACTTTGTGGACAAATGATGCCATTAATCATATTTTCCTAGGAAGCTGCGGAGGTGCACTGACAACAGGGTCTGAAGTTAAAGGTTTTGGCAGGTGAGTGAGGACAGCTGAGGGTAGGATAGGAGAAACAACAAAGAACCCTGAAATAAATAGACTGCAATTCAATCAGAAATAGCTAACAGTTGGGAGGTGTGGTATCTTCTCCCAACAGAAGGAGAAAGGGCACTGGGTGCTCCAGAAATCTTTGCCTTGCAAGTGATGCCTGGGATAGGCCACAAAGTCCTGCAGAAACATTCTCAGTATTTCCCAAGGTGAGATCTGCATTTCCTACCTTCCTTTCTTCTGCTCAGCTGGTGAGGAATGACATCTGCATGCTCATGCTGAGGGTCACAGCTGTAATAACCCTCCAGATTTACACAGGTGCTCTTCTCAGGACAAGCATTGAATCCCACATAGGAGCATTCATTGACATCTATGAAGAGGAACACACCTTGCACAGATGTTGATAGCAGCATCAAGACTGATCTGCAGTGTGTGTACACTAGGCTCTGGATATGATAAATTCAGTGTAAATCTGCAGTAACTCTCCAAAAGCAATGCTGGATGTATATGGGAGCAATGAAATTAGAATGCTGCCCTTCCCTGAAGGAGTGATTTCTCTGAAAGTTGGGCTGTGTTTTCCAAAATAAACACAGAACAAGAAGTGACGACAGTGGTGCTTATTGATCTATTTTAGGAGTGAAAATGTCCAGATAACTACATAGTAATAAGGAGATTAAAATAATTTAAACTGAATATATTTAAATTATTTACCTAATATTTAAGAAGTAGGTAATAATATGCCATAGTAATTAACACACTATGAGTAGAACTTGTTTCATGCAAGCTACTGGAAGTAACACATCTCTAAAAACAGAGTATATCTGCTTCCCAGGAAAACGCTTTTTTAAGAGCTTGTTTAACATAACTAATGATTGTGCTACAAATATGGCCCTCCTTGCTTTTTCATCTGAAGATGCTATTAGGAGAAAATAAATTTAATTGAGGAATCAGGAATATTTCCCTCCAAATATTCTCTCCAAAGTAATTATTAACTACAAGCTTCTCCTTCCTACAATGGAAAGGTTAGGGCCATAGTTACAAAGTTTACAAGACCTGCTGTGCTATTTTTGAAAGTAAATGGACAGTCATATAGATGAAACCCCAAGTGAAGAGGGTTGAAACCCCTACAGAAGTTCCACCCATCACAGGATTATAACAAATAACCTTGCACTTCCGTATCAATGACTTCATATGTGCGCTTCACGATGTCCTTCAAGGAAGAAGAAACTTGCATGAGCGGAGCTGGCTGATGTAGTCCAATGAGAACCTGGGAGGCCACTGTCCCAGCATATACTTCTGCATGGTTACTTTGGATATGGTGTATGGAGGCACTCAAGGGCTCTAATGCACCAGTAATCTAGAAAACAAGGGCACAAACACTTCAGTACCTCACACCTCTGCTAGAGCTCTATTTTTGTTTGGTTGCCTCAGACTGTTCCTATCTCTCATGCCCGGGATAGGAAAAGACATGCTGTGCTGCTGTTGCATGGCTCTGCAAGCACTGCTGTCATGGCCGCTGCTAATCCATGCACATGAGCCTGGCTGTACAGCAAAAGCAGCACGCTGTCATCTCCCTCAGCCTTGCTTCTGTGGCAAGAATGACAACAAAGTGCCCCTGACCCAGACACAGTCCCCCTGCACTTCCTCAGCAAAACTGGCGCTGCTGAGTCCACCTGCCCTCTAGGTCCCAGTGCCGTGGGTCAGGTTTGTCTCTTGACAGGTTTAAATGAAAACTGCTTTGATCTAATCATGCTTTGCAGATTTGCAGACATCCAGAGCTGGTTGGTCATAGACCAAAAAACTCAGCTGAGACAGAGATGGAGCAAGCATCACTCAGGCAGGAAAAAGCCCTGTATTTTATAATTGCCCTCTGTCTCTAAATTGCCCTTAGAAGAGACCTGAAAAATTTCCTAAATCAGCTGATAAATCAATGTCATTTGAGCTGCTTGAGGATGCAGCTGACATTCAGTAATTAGGAACAAATTAGGGCCAAATACCCCTGATCTGGCAGAACAAAGCAGGAGCAAGTAGCTAGCAAGGTTATGACTATGAAGCAAGTGGTGGTTACTGAGTAACAGAAACGTGGACGAAACAAGCAACGCAGGGGAGCATTTACATTTAGTACATACCATGGAGTGCAAAAGGCGCGAATGATTCAGAAGATGGGAATCCACTCTGATTAATTCATCAAAATCCATTTTCACAAGTACTGTCACGTTGTACCAGAATGTACTTCCTGAAGCATACAAATGAAAACAGCCAAGTCATCTATGATCTGATGCTATAGAAAGTGACAGAGCTATAGGAAGGGTCTAGGAAACCAAAGGAAGCTTTAATTTGGCAAATATGAAGGCCCACACACAGCCATCATCTACGGCCTTGTTTGCCATATGCTGCAGGCAGCAATGCCAATGAAGGAGAAGAAGCCAGAGAAGGTCCACTGGACCCTCAGCACCCACACACCATTCAGCACTCCTAGGTGCAAGTACTGAAGCTGAATGTCCTGGAATTGATTCAAAGCAGATTCCCATATTTGTTTTATGAAAAGCTATGGTAACAGTTTTTCTGCCCACTCCCACCCTCAGAAGGAAAAATTATGCATATTTCTCTTAGGAGCAGTGTTGAATTTATCAGTAACATACCCTCTGGCACTGGATCCACGCAGCCTGCTCCTTTGGAAGAGTTGCAGCATTTTTTAAGCCCTGGACATTCAGTATCGAAAGTGCAAGGATAATCCGATGTTTCCATATTCTCCTTTGGACAAGCACCAGGTCTTGAGGCAAATACACTGGATCTATTGAGTGCTAAGTAACAAAAACATTTATGAGAACAAAAATACAGAAAAATGTTTCCATAAGACTGTGCAGTTGAATTTATATCAAACACCTCCTCCTCATTTCAGAAGTGCGTCTGTTCTGAGGTTTTCACGGGGAGAAAATAGCAACCTAAAGTACCATTACTTCATTTCAAGAGCCTGAATGTTCCCAGTTTTTTCTCTTGTTCATGAAACTTCTGTTACTAAATTTTAAATTTATAATTTTCCATTGATAATTATGGATAAATGGGGGGGAGAGAGCAAGAGACTGTTTCTAAATATGGTTGCACTAGAAGCACTGCAAACCAGAAAAGGCATCTGATGTCAGCTATGACTAATCCAAATAATATATAATGAGCAAAGGAAACAGGTAATATCTGAGCTAGAAATCAGGAGTTTTCAGTTAGGATTTTGTTGCAACAAAGTTAACTATTAGTTGTAGTAATTGAAAATGAGAGTGGAGACACAACGCTGTTCTCATGTACACTTAACAGGGTTACAGAGAGGGACAGAGCAGAACTGAGCCTGTGATCCACAGCCTGACAGAACTTGCTCTGTATCAGACAGCCACCTTGGTAGGTCAATAGCCCACACTGGACAGCCCTGTGGAGAGGGCAGCTAAGGCAGAAAGTTGCTGATTCCCAAGCCAAGGGCAGACAGTGGTCCTGGTTCAATGGCAGCAAATACTCTTCCTCACAGGAAAAGAGAAAATATTTCTAAGCTCTACAAACATTGCTTTCACTCACGCTTTTAAACATAGCTCCAAGGAACACTCAGCTCTGATCTTTCCAATCCACCTTAAAGATTTCTCTTTTCCATTCTTTTTGAACCTACAGATTTTTGGTCTTTCCCACGACCAACTCTGCCTCCAAAAACCATTTTGAGTCAGAGGCCTAGGTTTGCAGTGGGAGGATGGGGTGAAATTCAAACCCCTGCAATCTTACTTAGAATCATAGAATAGTTAGGGTTGGAAAGGACCTTAAGATCATCAAATTCCAACCCCCCTGACATGGGCAGGGACACCTCACACTAAACCATATCACCCAAGGCTTCATCCAACCTGCCCTTGAACACTGCCAGAGATAAAGCATTCACAGCTTCCTTGGACAACCCATTCCAGTGAATCACCACCCTCACAGTAAAGAACTTATTCCTTATACCAGGTCTAAACTTCCCCTGTTTAACCCGTTACCCCTTGTCCTGTCACTACAGTCCCTAATGAGTAGTCCACCCCCACCATCCCTATAATCTCCCTTCAGATACTGAAATGCTGCTAGGAGGTCTCCACGCAGCCTTCCCTTCTCCAGGCTGAACAGCCCCAACTTTCTCAGCCTGTCCATCAGTTCTGTAGCCCCATCATAGAAGGCCAAAAGTTAAGTTACTTAAGTTACTTCTGGGTCCAGCAAGTCACAACAGCCCTATTCTGTTTTCCAGCATGGACCAGAAACCTTTGCTTCTGGCTCTGGGGCTGGCACTATGGGTTGCTCCCCCAAACAGGCTCTGCTGTTAGAAATCCTTTTCCTGATTTCTAGTCTAAAGCCACAATAAGGTGTGATGTGGCCTCAGTTGCCCTTAGGTGAGTCTCCCACACATTCCCAGTCTCATGCAATTGCTTCATCCCAGCCCCCTGTGCCAGGAGGCTAAGCAGCCTCTCACACTGGGAGCTTGCACAGACATGAGCAACAAGAGATTTTCCTGTATTAGTACATCACCAGAGCTCCTTAATATCCAAACCAGGTAGATCTTGGTAAGATGGACTGAAACAATTCCTCTGGCTCTGAGATTCAGGTGCAGCTCAAGCAGTTTTGAGGTTCAAAGCAGCTTTTTTCCACCTAGGTCTTTTTTTGGCCTGTTTAACTACAGTGTAAAAGGTTTAATGAGTCACATGCAATCTCAGAAAACACTATTGAATCCTGACCGAGTGCCACACCAGCCATTTATCTAAAATCAAAAGGTCATCATTTTCGCATCAGCAGAAACAGATGGATTCACATCACATTTCTGCCTAACTGTGCCAGGTGCACTTTGAAATTCAATTTATGCTCTCCACTTCAATCACATTTGGGACAATCACCTACAAGGCAACACCACCAGCACTGGAGAGCAAGCCAGCCAGCTCCTGCCAGCTGGATAAAGTACAGGCTTGTTCTCCTCCTTTATTTGCATAAATGTACAGAAGCAGAAATGCAGCACCCAGTGCTTAGCAGTGAAAGGTCAGCTACCAGCTTGCATGAAAGCCACGGTGTCGGCTGCGAGCACAGGATGGGAGGATCTCCCAGGAAATAGATGCTGAGGATACCATTAGCTCAGCCATAACCCCCTTCCTCTTTCTCCTTCCTCCTAGAAGGGACAGGTTTCATCCAGAGGGTGCGGCAGAGGCAAGCACCAACACCCTGCACTCATCTCAGGCGTCAGAAGGTGGAGACAAACCTGTGAGGTTATAGAAAGGGCTCCTGGCAAAGCCTGTTAAAAAGGCAGGCTGGCAGTTTTCATCATATGACCCTGTTTTCAGGGTCTCTGAGCACTGCTAAACTGTACCTGCTCAGATGGATGTTTTCCACCCTGACTGCTTCTCGAGGGTTAATTGGGATGGAGGGCAGCGTCAGGATGTGCTAGTTCAGCATCTGACAGATATTTAACATTGCCCCCTCTGAAAAGCCGTATCATTCACTAGAACATAATCAGGAGGCAATGGCTGAAATTCAGCAAGGACACAGCCTCAGAAGAACAAAACCAATCTGCTCATGCTCAGAAGAAATCTAATGAAATTTAGCCACTGCCACCTTCAGAGGGTTCATCCTGCCAGCAGCACCCTGCCAGGTGCTCTACCTGGCTCATGCTCACATCAGCAATCAGTAGAGAGCAGGCAGGGACCCGTGGTGATCAGATGCGACTCAAGGGGTTAATGCAGCCATGAAAGGCACAAGGTGGGTAACTGAATGAAGCAGAGAACTTGCAAGGAAAGACTACTAAAAAGGCTGGGGGTTTTTGCTGTGTAGATGGGAAGGCTGAAGGGGATATGATCAAGGTTTACAAAATCCCAAAGGCAGGGAAGAAGGTGAAAGCAGAGCTGGTATTCACCATAGCCCACAGTAATAAAATGGGTGAAACCACACACTTCTTCACCCAAATGGGAGTAAACTTATGAAATTTGTTGGCACAGGGCATGTGGAGGCAGACAGCTTCAGTGGTCCCAAAAAAGGACACGACAATTCCTGGGCAGGAGGCCCATAAGCAAGCAGACCCCATAGGCAGGGACACCTGTAATTCCATTTCTACAGCTGCTGAGGGACACAAGGGACCCAAAGTGCAGGGCAGGCAGAGACACCTGCTTCTGGGTGAATTCTGGCACCTTCCTACCCCAGGCTGATGCTGCAGTGCTGGTCTCATGACCCTAGTGACACCACTGCCCAAGCAGGGGAGAGAGCTGTGCCACAGTTCCACATCGCTCTGGTGAGACTTAGCATGAGATCACCTGCAGGCTCTGAAAAGTCCCAGCCCCTATGAGGCACCTGGGTACCAAAGATGAATGTGTTGAAGTTACACAAAGCATACTCTATTTAAAGCATGGCCTTAACACTCCAAATCAAGTACTCTGAAATGAACAAACCCCAGGATTGAAGTTGTCTGGGCCTTCTGATTTCATGGTATTTTTATATATGTGTGTTAAAAAAACAGCCTTCATTACATGCTGATGTGCTCTTTTACTCCATAGCTGGAGATCAAGCAGGGGTGTATGGCAGATAAAGAAGCTCTCTGGTTTCATCTTGTGCATTAAGGTGGAAGGTGGCAGCAAACCAGTCAACAGAAGTAACTATACCATTGATTCAAGCAGCTGGAAACTAGCCTGGAGAACTGGGCCCTGCCTCTACCTAATAAAAATGCTGGGAAAATTTTGTACAACAAACTCATCACAGCCTTTTAGAGCCACGGGCTTCACAGCTCCAGGAACCTGACCTGCAGCCCTGGGACCTGCCTAGCAGTTAGAGGACTGCTCATAGTCAGCATGGAAGGACATGAGGCTCTGCGCTCCAAGCACAAAGGTGTTGAAGGCAGCACGAAACATTCTGAATATCAAAATCAAAATAAATGGAATAAACAAATTAAAACCATGCCATAAGTGTCTGGAAGTGGGCACACAAAATTATTCAGTCTCAGTTTCTCTGCAAGTAGTTGTCCAGCTGTGACAGAGAGAGAACCTCCCTCCCTTCCCACAGGCTTTGTGAAGACAAATTGCTGTATGTGAATCGCCCCAGGGTTCACCTTAAGATGTTATAAATATTTTTCTGTTCAGAGAGAAGCTCAGCAGAGCCCTGCCCCATGCACTGAATGAGAAGACCAGGAGAACACGCTGCTGGCGAGCTCTTTGGAGAGGCTCCATCATCCCTGATCACCTCAGGGAAATGTGGTCCTCAGGGCAACGCAGTGCCAGATCCGGTAATTAAAAGAGTTTACTAATCTGCAAGCATAGGCACAAGGAGAGTAAAAAAAGGTTGTCCTATTTAATTCTGCCTTTAAAATTAATTCTATCACTTCCTAACTCTTAGATATTTAATTTTTTTTCCATTTTTATTTTTAAAAGGTTAAAGTAATTTGTGTGTGCATAATACTATCCTAATAGATTGATAGGCAAATAGTAAGAACTACCAAAGTAACTGGACTATGACCTAGACAATTTTTCCCAACAGTAAAGAAACAAGAAAAGAGGGACCTGTCATATCCCAGGCAAGAATAAATGTTTTCTTCTAGGAAGAAAAGGTGGGGAGTGGCCAGGAGCAGGTTGCTGTGAAAGGTCATGGAGACCTTTCCACTCCTAGCAGGATAGAGAGCATGCCAGTATGGATAATGTCAAGAGAAAATAAGAGTAGTTCAACAGCATGCTGCACAGTGGTTTCAGCAGTTCCAGTTTCTCTTCTCATCATTTATTTAAGACTGTGTCTAGACAGTGCATTACCATTCACAGAATTTATGACTAATGCCCTGAAAAGCAAAGATACCGGAATAATGTAAACACAGAAATCACAAAGAATCCATACAAATCCTTTTATGGTTTAAAATATTCCCAAATTAACTTTGACAGGAAAAGCAGTCAAGGTGACCACAATATTTCATGGACAAGCCTGCCCAGAGTGCCCAACAACGTGGCAAGGGCAGAGCAGAAATGCTGCAGCTAAGCTCTACAAGAGATGTACGTATTTGTTAATGTTAGATGAAACAAGCCCATCAATCACTCTCAAGCCTAAAATATCCATACAGATGCTTTTAAAAGGCATAGAATTATACCAGGAAAGAATATTTAAAGTGTTGTCAGGATGTCTTTTCTTTCTATCCAAGAAGATGGTCTTGATTTTCAGGGGTTCTGAAACACCTTGAAAATCATGATTGCTCACAGAGTTTCATGTGAAAATAGAGACAACCATAACTAGCTATTGACTCTTGAGCATTTAGCTGACACATTTATTTGGCAGGATACAGTACATTAAAAACAATGTGTATCTAATTATGCTTTCATTTCTCATCTCTAGAAAATCATTTTAAGAAGAAGCAAAATACAATGACCACTTCTGTCTTCCCATCTTTCTGTTATAAGCATTTTCCTGTGAGACACAATATTCTACAGTAACTGTTGAGAAAGGTCTGGCAAAGATTCTTTGAAGATTCATTTTCCAATGCTCTGAAACAACTTAAAAGTAGGATGAAAACATTGTTCTGGACGGATCCCATGACAAGACATATGGCTCATACCCCCTCATGTCACGTTATATGATCTGATGCAGGAGTGGGTTAGGGGACATTCCCATAGATCTGAGTCACAAAAGTCTTATGACTCAAAGCAAGGGCCAGGGCTGCAATAGGACCTTTCCTTTTTAATCCCTTGTTACAGTGATGTGACTATGTGTCCCAGAGCCACAACTTGAAAAGGGGAAATGGAGAAAATGCAATGTCATACAAAAAAATAGGAGACAAAATGATGTCCTACAGAACTTTTTGGAATGCTGGAACAGTTCAGTCCTGGCCTAGCTAACCCTAACCCCAGATGCCTGTTCATCTTAAAAGCATGTGGCTTAATCCATTAAAAAAAAGAAAAGAAAAAGATACTTTTTCCTAAGCAATTCCTTCCATCTACATCTCAAGTTCTCCTAAAACTGGTAATTTCTTATTGACAACTGGTATCCTTGATGTGGGAAGGAGAAAAACCTTCCATCTTGAGTTGAGTCAAAGATGATTAAGTCCTCCTGAATAGAACCTTGTTAAAACTTTTAAGTTAGTTAGAGCAGATCCACAAAAACTTTCACCAGTTTCCAGAGCTCCAACATAGCCTTTCTTAACCAAGGAAGCCCTGAGAAAATGGCCCTTAATGTAGTTTTGATTGGAAAGCAGTTGGTAGTAACTAGCTATGAGGCTGCAAGTTGTTTTAAATTAACATCAAATTGGGTTTGCATCCTGAGAACTGACCCTGCTCCAAAACAAAGGAGATGTTATCCTAAGTGCATCCTGAATTACTTTTGAGAGGAAAGCTCCAACTGTAAATGCAAGTATGCAGTACTAAGCAAGGCTACATGAGTTACTACACTTGGCCACAGATATTGACACAAACCAGGACAAGTAACGAGCCCCTGCAAGGGGTAGCAGGTAAGTGTCTTCTTCATGCTTACCTGGAACTAGTGAATTTGTGGTTAGGGATTGCAAAGAGCAAAAATTAGGAGCATTAGTTGTTCATTTCTACTCCTTACCACAATGGACTAAATTTTCTGTAGAATTCTGCAGAAGCAATCATTTCAGTGAACAGGAACCTACTGCCCAGAACCAAATTAAGCCTTTACATGTCTCAGTTCAAGTGAATCCTCTTCCATAAGAAGCATTTATTTCAACTCTTAATCTGACTAAAGCTTACCTAAGGAGCAGTAGAGTCCAACTTGTTCGTATCCTTCACAGCAATCTGTAAGAGTGACGGTTTCAGGGACTTCAACAGTATGATACTGCATTTTATAGTATGTCTTGGGACACACCATCCATGGTATCCATCCTCCACAGGAAGTGCTTTTCTCATAGGACTTGTGGTAGGCAACCATTTTAACCACGTTTCTGGTCAGGCTGTAGTTGCACAGATGGTACCCAAGCAAAGAGAGGCCTTTTTCTAGGGAGTTAAAAAAAAAAAAAGCAGGAAAGAAGGGGGTCAGCACTAACTTGTTACCCCAGAGTATAAGCTCCCTGCAGTGTCTAGTTAAAAATACTGTTATGAGAAAGCAGTGACAGAACCTACATAGGTGTGCATGATTTCCAGTAAGGCTGATGCTATGAAGAAAATCACTTCAGAAAATGGACAGACAAAAGAATTAGTAGTGACTGCTTGTCATAGGCATCACTTCAGTCATAAAAAGGTGCAGATTGGCAGACAATTCAAAGAGCTCTCAGTGTCTTCAGCTGCAAGGCAGAAAAGGAGCGATTTAACTCAAGTACAAAGGAAATTAATGTACATTAAGAATAGGCACTTTAAGGGCAGAGTCATCCAAGTACTTTAGATGTCCACTCCAGGCTCATGCTGCCAAAATATTCATCTTTCTCCACCAACTATAAAAGGAACAAAGGGCAAGGAACTCATGGGCAGATGAGTCACGGTAGATGTCTGGAATAAGACATCCTTCAGGCATTGTCCTGCTAGGCTAAAACTGGGTACATACATCAGTGCAAAGGACTTCCAGGTGTCTGATACGAAAGGTATTTCCAAAGCCCCTATGTTGCCTATCTGCATTTGTAGCAGACCATATCACACCAGGCCCTTTAAGAGCAAAGGACTTCCAGGTATCTGATACGAAAGGTATTTCCAAAGCCCCTATGTTGCCTATCTGCATTTGTAGCAGACCATATCACACCAGGCCCTTTAAGAGCTGCTGCAGTGGTTCGTTGACTCCAGTATAAATGAAGTCACTGATTAAGTTCATTAACCGCACAATATCATGCAGACCTGGGAATGGGACTCAGTTTCTGAAGTTCTGAAACCAGTCATGATAAGGAATGAAATCGTTACACAGAATCGTAGAATGGTTTGGGTTGGAAAGGACCTTAAGATCATCTAGTTCCATTCCCCCTGCCACGGGCAGTGATGCCTCACCCTAGACAGTGTTGCCTAAGGTATGCTTTACTTAAAACTGAAATACTTGAACAGGAACAGGAATAAAAAAGAACACAACACAAAGAAACCAAACCACAACAACTGAAACAAAATCAGATGGAATTTAAAAATTAGAAGTAAGCAACCAATAGTCACGTCACAAACATCAGGCTGTCTCCTAATGAGACGCTATAGAAGGGAATGAGTCATGCTGTGTCCCATTTGGGAAATAGATGGGATAGAATTAAAATGCCTCTATCCTCCTTTAGACAAAGCAAAAGAAACTTTAATAAAGATAAATATGAATTGGTTGCAGAGATTCAAGTATGACAGGACTGTTGTTTCTGAGGTGATGAGGGCCAGTCAACAGACAGACTGAAGCTAACATAGTATATGCAATAGGCATACAACTGAAGTATTTACATCTTATCTTATTTTTTACAACTTATCTCCTGCATGAAAAGTTGAAACATATAAAAACAATTCAAGAAGAAAAAAAAAAAAGAAAGATAATTGTCAAGTTCTTAGGAATTATATGCCTTCATCATGTTTAGCTGTCCAGCTAAACAAAAGATATATGCACAATTTGAGCAGGACTGGTGAAAGTTTTGAACAGAATGATCCATTTGTAGTGCAAGGACAGTCCAAAAGAAAGTACAGAATAGATATCAAAGGCCAAAATACATCCCTCGAGTCAGCTGAACTGAGTCACCCAAGTGGTCTTCCTCTAGCCCTGATCCTAGACACTGCTTCAATAAGAACAGTCTGAAAGACTTTCCATGCTCTAGATGTTCAAAAGGCCATGGAGAAAACTGGATTTTCTTGGTGCAATTCCCAAATAGAGGCACAGGCACCTTCCTGATGACAAGGGCACTTTGGAATTGCAGAAGGGAGGAAAGGGGCTGAAACTAACTACAGCCCACCCCCAGCATGAGTAACTCAAATCTGACCGGACCCAGAGAGAGCATCATGCCCCTGGGAGCCCAGCTCTGCTCTGCCTAACCCATCTGTGCCTTCCTCTGGCCGCAAAAGGCAGAGTCGGATGTTGGGGCTTGCTACAGAGAGCACATGTGAGAGTGAGAGACCTCCCAGCAGGCCCCAGGGAGCCCTGTGCTGCTGCTTACATCAGCTCAGCGGGAGAATACTGAGAATAAGGGCATAATTGGAAATCCCACTCTCTGCTTCTTCCTCCTCCCCAGCCTCAAGCAGGGCATCTCTGTGTCTGGTCCCTGAAGAGACAGCAGCTGAAAGGTCTTCATTCCCCTAAAAAGCACCAGGGCTTTTCTTTGTCCTTAAGGAGAGAGTAAAGGAGATGGTCATGAAATGCAGGAAGAAGGGCACCCAGCCTGTCTCAGGAGAGAGAGGCAACCCACACCCTGCCTGACCAAGGAGAGGACCCCAGTGGCCAGGTTGGGGGTCTGACCAGGACCATGAAAGCCCATACTCAGCCACGGCACATAAGTGACTATGCAGGAAGAAACTGAAGTTGAGTGAGCCATTGAAAGTAATGTGTCCTCCCTCCCTGGTTAGCACATCCCTCTGGGAGAGGGGAAAAGAGAACAAAAGTGAGTTCTGTAGCAGGAAGCAGAGATCAAGGACTGCTTTTTATCCAATGCCACTTTGCATCTGGCAGTGGTGCCTCACAAGAAACAGGTAGCTGTCATTGCAGTTTGTAAAGCATTCCCTTGCCATGTGATAATCGTGCTCCAGGAATACCTATCCCAGCAAATGGGCATGTAAGCATGGGAAGAAATGGTATCTCATTGCAGCTGGGTTTGGGGATTTTTTTTCCCATTAGTTTGGGACCCGAATTGTTAAATACCCAAAGTGGAATTGAAAGAATACCTAAATCATTTTGGATCTAGCCTTTATCTAGAAGGAGTGCACAGGCATCTGTTAGTGATCAGGGAAGGTGGGAGGCACAGGTGAAATTTTGTCCTATGAAAATGAGAAAAATAAACTATTGTATTAAGAAATCATACTGTTGTAGTATGAAATTCTGTTAAGGGAGGGTAGGGCGGGAAAAGAAGAAGCGTTCAGCATGGTTCTTCATTGCTACAATCCCTCCATTTCCCCAGAGCTCACGTATTAGCATGAACAGAGCAAAGCAGGGACCGGAAGAGAACAACCGAGTAAGGAGAGCACTGAGGATTCGTGTTGTCCGTGCAGAGCTGAGGCTGGAGCAAGAACATAGTACTGGAAAGCTAAAAATTCCAGTGTCAGCTGAGCTGGCTTAGGCTCTATAGCAATGTGCAACATAAATACAGGTATGAAACTGAGAATAAAATGGTGTAGAATTAGACACAGTTTATAATTAGAAGCTACAGCTGTCAGAGAAGATATGAAACCATATTTCATACTTAAACACTGATACTAGGTATAGAATGAGGCTGCCAAAGCCAAAAGAGAATGTTTCAGATATGGCTATGGTGGTACAAAAAGAAGTTAGACAGAAGGTGACAGGGAACAGTGCATCACCACCAACCTTACTATCCTCCATCATTTCCATACACTTTAAAACAAGCTTTGACACTCACCACAGTTCAATTATTTGCTGACAGCAGTTTCCTGCTGAGCAATATGGCTTAGATCAATTTGGGCTCTTTAGCAAATTGGCTTTCTGTTCTCATTACCCCCTTCTACAGGATTATGGCACTATCAAATGGAATTAAAATGCACTGAATGTTGTTTCCAGCAACACAAAGCTGGTCAATTGCAAAGCAGGAGAATGCAGTCAACTGACATTAGTAGGGCTACATTATGCCTATCATCTCTGGACTTGAGGCTTTTTAATTAGCAACCACCAGCTTTCCAATATCATGAAAAGTATAAATTTTATGTCAAACAAGAGCACAAACAATTAAAGCAAATACTTTATTAATAGAGAAAAATACTGAGAGGAAGGGCTGAAAGAAAAGTCTGCATGGGAGCAGGCTGCTTACAACTGAAGGTCTAACCCAGATCAGAACTGAGAGAGCAATCACAAAAATCAGCAATAAAAACTGCCTGATAGAATTTATGCCACACTTAGCTGCAGTTCTGGAAACCTCAGTGCTCAAGTGCCAGGAAAGCCACTGTGAGCTGGATCTGTAAAATCTCGTGGGAGAACAGCAAGAGCCAAAGCCAAGCCCCTTTCTTGTCTTGGCTTAACCTGAATAGTAATCTTTCGGAGCAGGTTCATAATTCAGTTTTAAAAGGTGAAGGCTCAGAGACATGAAGAAAAATGGATTAAGGGCTCAGTTTTTATGGGTATTCAAAATTCTTTTCAGTGTCAACATCACTGATTTTAAATGGCACTGGTATGGGGGTTCTGCTGACCCCCAATCTATAGAAACCTCTTTCTCAGCTGTGATTTTGACAGAGTAACAGAAAAGTCACTAAGGTTTGAGAAATGTGGTTTGTATTTTAACTGAGACTTGCAAAACCCCTTAAGTAAAAAAAAAATGCAACAAAAAGCAGCCAAAAAGCACATCTAAATATTATTTATTTGGAACCAGAAATTAAGAACAAATTAGGATGTAATTTAGCAGTTACAATCTAGCAATTGGGTTTGGGTTTTCCAAATTACAGCCCATACCGTAGGTGAAAGCTGTCTTCTACACCTTCATTTTATGCATCTCTAGGAATTTGCCAGGTACATTACTGCATCATTTCCTCAAGAAGACATTTTAAAGAGAATTTTCATCAAAATTTGCACATTACTGAACGCAAAGCTGCAATCTTACTCATTCATTTCTGGCACAAAGGAAGTGACAAGGCTTTTGCCTGGGGACAAAGGTTGTATTTCACCTTTGTTGGATTTTCTTTGTTTATTTGTCAGCAGAGGATTCTTAAATAGCCACTGAGATGTTGCCAGTTCTATGGAGACTGGACACCTTGGCCGGTTTATTTCAAATAAAGAGATATCTCACATCCAAAGTAAGCCATCCTACAACAGCCATGGTCTTCTGACCAGGTTTGTGCTACTCACCTGTAATCTCATTCCCCCTTCCCTGTTGCGTGGCTGCCCAGAGGATGAGAACAGAAGTAAGAATGATCCTGGCCATTGCAATGCCTGTTCTAGATAAGCCCTTCTTACCACTTTGTTTCCAGTGTGGTAAAGCTTGACCGTCCGTTCATGTAGGCTTTTGGATTAGGAGAAAAGGTGCTTTGGTTTGTTACCTATTGCAGGTGAGTGATGACTACTGGCAACAGAAACAAAGAGGTTCCGGTGGGAATTTTGCTGGCTCTCTCTCCTTCGTGCTCTCCCCAGGGAGCCTGTTTCTTCTGCCTGCTCAGCTTGGATCCCCGCCTACTGCCTGACTTTGAGGAGAAGGCATTTCAAAATCGCTGGCTTAGTCCATGTTTACCTTTCTGAGCACCTATTCCCTCTCGCACCTTGAACACCCAACAGCCAGGAGCCAGATTTACATAACTCAGATGTCAGGTGTGTGTATCTTCAATTTCATTTCTGTCCACACACTAGGTGATACTATTTTGTAGGTCCTGAACTCTGTCCCTCGAAAACAAACTAAATGTAAGTGCCTGTTGATGTTTTATCCTGAATTTAAGCTGTTTCACTAGCTGCTCTCATTTTGCTCCTCGTATCATTGCAATTTCAGCATCACATAAACCAGAGGAATGATAGGCAAACAAGAACCTTATTAGGCAGGGCATGAATCAGGAGATTTGAGAAACCAAAATCCCTTTCTTTTCATTGTGTAAATAATGAAGGCATGTTCCCAAGATAGATGTGACTGCAGCTTTACAATGCAAGACAGTAACTTCAGTGCAATATCACTTCGCTCACACAAAGAAAAGGAGCAAACACGATATTTTATGAGGAGCTGACAATGAAGTATGGAAAATGACAGGTACAGTTCTCGGTGCTGAGGCAACCAGCACTTAAATACATATTACAGTACTGCAGGCAATTTCATGTGGATGAAAGAGACAGAGGTAAGAGAGCTGGAACCACAAACTCTCTCACTCATGTACACTCAGAATATCAGTAATATCACTTCTGTAGAACACTGCTGGGCAATCAGAGTGTTGGCACTTACAAGTTAGGGGAGCTGGGGCCCTGAAGAACATGCAGGACTGACAAGGGAGTCACAGGATGGTTCAGATCCTCTGGCAAAGGGCAAAGCCAATGCTGCATGCAGTGCTGAGGAACTTGTCAGCTGTTCTTCTGGACTGGAAAATAAAACACTAAGCTTCATGGGGGGAGGGAGGGAGGGAGGGAATGGTAAGGAAAAAAAGGAAAATTAAGGCTTGTCCAGACTTCAACTGAAAAAAAAATTTTTGCAGAAAATGGGAAAACGGGTAGAGAAGAACATTAAAAAAAAAAAAAAAAACACCAAAACAAACAAACAAAACCAGCACACACAAACACACACTAAAAAAATAGATTTTGGAAACATTTCTCCTGTGTCTAAGGAGAATGTGTACCTTAGCACCCTTCTTCTCCACGCACCAGGATCTCTAGTCAGGCTGTATCCCTCAGGTTGCACCATCTACATCTCCTGTCAGCACAGGGAGGCAACAGGGAGGTCCTGGCTGTAGGCTGCACAGAGGATACCATCTGACCTAAAAATCCCATTAATAAACAAACAAATCAATAGGACTTCTGCAGGGAAATTCAATCTGCAAATTAAAATATTTCTCTTCGTGATCTATATTTATTCTTTTCAAGTCTCAATTTTCTGGAAAAAAATACCTTGATTGAAATTTTTCTGCCCTTAGAAATTACTTGGCACCTTCTGTAAAAAGTGTATGTCGCAGACAGGTTCAAATATAGGTAATGCCAGACTGGTGCCTGAATTGGACTGCATCTGGGGTCTCCCACTTAGAATCCTAAATTGCTGAATAGGGGTGCCATATGTCTTAAACAGTTGCTGCTTTCCTGACTTAGCTATAAAACAAATGTGGTCATCTTCACCACTGAGCACTTCTATGAACAAAGTATGATCCTCCAAATTGCAATAAAGGACTAACATCCCCACTCTAAAAGACTTAAGTATACATATTCATCTTTAGGACTACAATAAACATGGATAGAGCTTTGCATATTTACAGCTCAGTCTTGCAGCTGGCAGCTGTGGCAGGCTTATGTTCAGGGTGAGGCAGCTAACAGCGAGTTGCAACTTTATTGCAGTAGTGAATGAAACAGTTCCTAAATGCAGATTATTCTGAACTCCCTTTTCAAATGAAACTGAGTAAAGTCAGTGGGTGCTTAATCCAAACAGTAAATAAGTCATGATAATTTCAGGATTTACAGTGCAATTTTCAACTTCTTTCAGGTTCTGATTCACATCTGCAGTATTTCTTCAGTTGCAATCATTTAGGCACACAGCAACTTACTTTTCAGCAATGCAGACACTGTAAGAGACCACTCAGGCAATTAAGCATGCATCCTATGTCCTGTACAGACACATCTACATCTTCCAGACGTACTCTTGCACTGCATTACCTGCAGTATGTTTAAGATGATGCCCTGCATCCCAGGCAGCTGCTGCAATATGAAGAGCACATGCTTACCCAGTACAAGCTAAGACAGAATCTCTTACAGGGAAACTAAAGTAGATTCATTGACCACTGTGGAAAGCTGACCACTGGGCATGCATGGCTGATTACATATAATTATATTTTTAGTAACCATTGGTGTATATCATAGATAAATTATTGGTCTTTTTTCCTTATTCATTCCAATTAGGTGGGGTTTTTAAGACCCCAGTAGAAACTCTTGCTCTGGTGATGAGGAAGGTCAATGGAGAGAGGAACAGAGGAGATGTTTAGTGGAATAAAAAACCTGGTTGTGTGTGCTCGAAGTGAGCTGGACTCTGCTCTGGAAGGAGCTCATCACAGTCCTCCTGGCCCAGTCATCTGCAGCTGATCAGTTCTCCTGGCTCTTCTTCTGTATTTTCTGTAGTTTCACTTGTAACGTCTGAATTGATCTGAAGTATCCAGTTTATACAAAGAAGTGCAATAAAAGCCATGTCAAAATCTGTTCATCAAGAAGCAGATTTTTAGAAATGGGATTTGACTCTCTTAGACTATACAGTCAGTAATTGGAATATTGTGGCTGGCAGCAGGCTTTCTCATCATACTTTTCAGGCATTTATTCTTCTATTGATTTTGACACAGAAAGGTCAGTAGCTGGAACATTTCTTTTTGCTTTGCCTTTTTTTTTTCTTTTTTCTTTTTTTTTTTTTTAATGAAATAATCACTATTTCAGATGCCCAAAATGGGGACATTTCAAGACAGACTGCTTTGCATCCAGGAAACAGGACTATGCATTTGGGCAATATGGGAATCCAACAAAAGCTGTCTTGGGCTCCAGAAGCCAGCATGCCTTCCTGCAGATGTATAGGATCTAAAGATTGAGAACCATTAAATCATTTAACCTGGCCTCTCAAAACTGCCTGTCAGTAAATTTCTCCCAGACACCTCTTCCAGACTCCCACATTTCAACCTGATTACAGTCTGTCAGTCTGAGAAAGCCCAGACTATGGCCACAGCAGACTGTGGGAATGGATGGAGGTTCCACCAGCCCTTCAGATCTCACAGCAGAAATAAACTGATCCAGATCAGGAATGCAAAGGCAAAACCATGCTGCTAGCTGCCAATGAATGTGACAAGAAGTTCAGATGAGACCTGATTTCTCCTCAGTGATTGATTTCCCTGGTGCCTGTGACTCCCAGTGAATTTTGTCTCACCATCAGGGCAGCCTTAAAAAGTGTTCCTACTGTGACATTTCAGATGTTTAGTAAGGGCTGAGATCAAACTAGTCTTTCCCTTAGTGGGGCATTGCTAAGGTTTCTTTCCTCTTCACTCCTGACCTTTGCGAAGCCTGCAGAAACTTAACTGCCTTTGAGCCTGCAGCTGATCTGTCAAAACTGGCTTAAATCCGTCAGCAGGGCCAAAAGGTGTTAGAAGAGAACAGGCTGTCTTAGCCAGAAGCAACCGTTTTGCAGCTAAAGACAAAACAAAATAAATCACTCCTGCCATCAGGATACGAACTCATTCCAGCTTCTGAAAATCAATACATATAATGGACACCTTAATGTCTGCTTCCCACAGAGACCCGAACTTCTCAGAAATTGTAACTATTTAGCTCTCAAAGATAAAATGCTAGTCCGCAGTTCCAGGGACGTGAATTCCCTGCCTCCTGCTCGTGTAGCCATAAGCAAGTCGCACAGGCCACTGCAGTGAAGTCATGACGAGGACAGAAAGCCCACTATTTCAGACCTCATGAAAGTCACAGCTACAGTACTAAAAATATGGTTTTGTTTATTTTACCTGAGAAAAACAGTAGAACAGAAAAATCACTGTTTTGTCAGCATGTGCTATGCTAGGATGGTTAACTGCTAAACTGGCAATTTTTGGAAAGGGTCCTCATTTCCCTGAGCTTCAGACACACATACAGAGAATGGAATAGTATGCTTGCTTATTTCATTGATGCATTTCAGAGGAAAATACATTAAAGATGAAGGAACATACACAAAGGACACTAAAAAACGCATTCACTTATAGCCCTGAGGGTTAATTAGCTCAACTGTGCAGGCAGAACAGCCCCTGACTGCGTTCAGTGGTTTGGTCTGTCTCACCAATAAACTGCTCCTCAGGAAAATCTTTGGGTTGTGTTTTTTCCCTGAACATGCACAAACTGCTTTAAAGTGACTCATGAGGAAAAAGTTCTTATTGGTAACAGGAGGAAAAAATATGAGTCAAGCGGAGGTCATGCTGAACCTCTGCCTGGCCTCGCTCCTCCGACAGTGCTAGTTGTGCAATCTCAGCACAGAGAAACTCTTGTTTGCGCCGGTGCTTTGATGGCATGGTCCCATTCCCAACACCACATTTGGTACCAGATGAGACTGTTGATCACACCTCATACGTGATTTAGCAGTGCTGCAGGGATGTAAATTCTAAGATGTTTCATAGCATGCTGCTTGGTTTTAACTTTAAACCCTGGTATTCTTGAAAGAAAGCAGTCTGGGCAGTGGGTATTGCCCTTTGCTATGAAGGCTTGCTTGGAAGAGAAGTCGGAGGGTCTCCCGCTCAGCATCTCCCCATGGGGTGCAAGGGCCAAGTCCACCTGAATGTCCCATTCAGCAGAGTATTGTGCCTGGCCTGTATGAGCACTTGGCGATGGGCTCAGAGTGCCTCCTTGCTCCGTCTTGCTGGCTGGACCATCAGCTCCCTGCAGTGAAAGGCCAGAAGTTCAGCCCCAACATGGATCTCACACTTCCCCGCTGACTCAATGTCATGGGGCTCAAGAACAGCAACAATGTCTTGCAAAAACCAGTGACCCGTCCATGGATATGGCCAGGCTTCACTGGTTTGTGCCAGTGCTGCTGCCTGTAACCCTAATTTTGACTGAAAGCACCTGCTGCTCCTCTTGGAAGAAGGATGTCTTCCCATTTCTTACCCCTTTTAAACCCATCTGATACACAGCCTGGATATGAATGGGATGGACAGAGGACTGTGCATGCAACTGGCAGTTCCTCTTGTGAATCCATCTCTTGCATACACATGCAAAGCCTGCCTCTATTAAGCAGATTTGGAGCACAAAATAAACCAACCAAAATATATAATCTGCTTTCTGCTGTTAGTCAAGCTGAGATTTAGCCCTTACCTTCCAGCTGAGAGGTACAGAGAGGTACACACAGACCCAAGCTCATGTTTCTGATGAGAAATTCTTCTAAATTGTTGCAGAAGACAATCTGTAGTCCAAAACCCCTGAAAATTTTTCACAATTTGTTTAAGAGCTTTTATGGATGCATTAGAGTTAAACGCTTACAGGAAGATTCTTGCTTTGAAGCACCTAAAGGAGAATTGTTTCTGCGTGCTCCTCAGACAGCTCAATTAAAAGCAGAGAAGCTTATGAAGGAAAAGGAGCTTCTCAAAGCAGGAACACTGGACTAAAGGAACCTACTATACAGGCAAGGCAAGTGGCAGCACCCCATGCCTGCTGTGTGAATACTGAGTAAGGGCTTCAAGAAAGGTTTGCATAAAAGCACAGAATACTTTAACCCAGTTAGAAGGTACAAGCACTTGAATAGGTTTAGAAGGAGGAATGCAGGAAGTTGTTTTGGGGAGGTGTATAATTTCTTTTTTTCTGCCTGTTAATACCTGTAATTGTGATCAACCCAGACAAACACTGGATTACTCAGTGCAAAGATGTAGGGAGCTCTTTGAGTGGGCAGAAAAACACCAAATGACTAAAACACCAAATGATTAAAAACCATAAGGAGTGGAAGCCTGGGGTAAAGGGAAGCTAGGGCTGAAAGAACAAGAGTTTTAATCTTTCTGCCAAAATGCAACGAAGACAAGTTATGAACCCAAATCTGTGTGTCTGAGGGAATCTGAACAAGCAGAAAATTCACTGGCAGTTTCAGGGATCTCACAGTATACAATGAGGAAATCTTTTTCTTTTTTTCTGCTTGGCCTGCTGTCAAGTGCAACTGATGTTTCAAAATTATTTCTGTTTTGAGATTGATACTAAATCATTAGAGTGATTAAAATAAAAGGATCTTTGGGTTTTCCATGCCCTTCCCCCAGATAAAGATTACAAACTACTTGTAAGAACCCCTGCACCAAGCATCTGCCTGAAACAAGCCATGTCTGCATCCAGACTTGCCCAGAGGGCACTACAGAGCTAAACCACCCTCTGAATTACTCAGCAGGAGGCTATTACCATCCTGCTCTGACTCTGCATTTTGACACGTATACATTTGCCATGCTTTTGCCCACCGTGGGTTCTGTCATCTCAGACATCTGTAGAGTTCAAGCTTTTGCTTAAACAGAGGAGAGCAAAGCTCCAGCTTGCTCAGTGTTTTCTAGTGCACCAGCAGGATTTATTCCGTAAGTATCCATGAATTAAATAATGGAAGAGTAGAAGTCTGATATTAGCCCCCAGGTGTCTCGCAATGGGGGTGCTTTGCAGGACTGTGCAGCCAGAAGGAAGCCTCCATCCTGGAGTGTGAGGAATTTTATATGTTATACTGGGTAAGAGCTGTGCTCCCTCTCAGAAAAGTTTCTCAGCACTGATATTACCACTTTTGATGCCAGGAAAACTGCTGCTCGTCCTACACCCTCTCCTACATGCAGCACCTGCCTCAGTTAGGTAGCATTGCCTGCTTTTCCAGGTACTCAGAAAAGAAAATCATTCCTACCACTGAACAGCATCAACTGCTGACAAAAGCACTGGCAGTTTCTCTACAATTCCATAGTGTTGAAAGGGGAAATAGAAGTCTAAATGATTAGTTTGGAATAAAGACTATATTGCATCAATGGCTTGGTAATCTGCAAAAGAAACAATCGATCACCTTGTTTGCAAATCTAATCAGGAAAAAGGAGTGATGCATGGCAAGGAAGTTTGATGTTTGGAGTGCAAAGAGACTTCACACCAGGTTTTGGCATTCTCAGGTGAAGAGCAATATGTGGTTATGCACTGTAAATAGGAGGAAAAGAATTTTCTTGTTTTTTCTCTCCTTCTGGATTTCAGGCCACAAAAACCACAGCTAAAATTATCTCACTCTATTTAACTGAAAAAAAAATAAAAACATCACATTTTGCCAGATATTGACAGTTGATGTTTAAAGCTCAAAAGGAGATGCTTTTCAAAATGTTTATTGGCTTGTGAAAACAATAGGTTATTTACTGAATCTATTCTGCACCCTTAACTA